TACCTCATCCCCATATTGTTATTTATTTTGCTAATTTCCACCCCAGTATCTCTATTTGCACATAATAATATGCCATTTAGCAGACGCTTTTATCCAAAGCGACTTACAGTCATGCGTGCATACATTTTTACGTATGGGTGGTCCCGGGGATCGAACCCACTACCTTGGCGTTACAAGCGCCATGCTCTACCAGCTGAGCTACAGAGGACCACATCATCTCTTGCACATCTATCATTCCAGTGTTAATACTAAATTGTAATTATTTTGCACTATGGCCTATTTATTGCCTTACCTCCATAACTTGCTACATTTGCACACACTGTATATATATTTTCTGTTGTATTTTTGACTTTATGTTTTGTTATGTAACTCTGTGTTGTTGTTTTTATCGCACTGCTTTGCTTTATCTTGGCCAGGTCGCAGTTGTAAATGAGAACTTGTTCTCAACTGGCTTACCTGGTTAAATAAAGGTGAAATAAAATAAAAAAATTAATCGTTTTGATGTGAAACACATTCATTTTCCATTCTAAATAAAACATATACGATGTAGCTCATGAGCCGGGCCTCTCTGAGCTGGGGGGTGTGTCTGATAATTATGTATGTATATGGTGAATGTACTATGTAGGCACCTGAGCTGAGCCATAAGGGAGACTAGGCATCTACCTACCCATCCCACTATCAGATTAGGGGGGGGGGGGGGGGGCAATGAAGCATATGTTTGGTTCTGAAATCACCATCACCCACTAATTAACGGGTCATTTTTGCAGATTAAGTGTTTGAGCTAGTAATGTATCATTGTTTATCATTTACAAATTAGCTATGACATAGCCAATGAATACATAGCACAATTTAGGATTTCACCCCCATCTCAAATTCAAATGGTTTTGACCGTTTAGAAGTTTTCAATGAGCTTCTTTTCAACTCCTGCTTTGGCCATGCACTGCGCCTCGCAAAGTGATTGCTGTCCTTGTTATGAAATTATCAACTGTAACCTGTACATCAAAAAATTAGCATATACACTGATTGTTTAAAGCAAAACAACCAAATCTATTGCTGATGGTGAAGCTGAACAATCAAAATAAAATATATTGTAAGCCCCATTCTGCAGGTTATAGCCAGATGAGTTGTCTCTGGTAGCGTTTACTTTTATTCCAGTAAAACAACATTTCTAACAGCGCATAGATAACAATAACCTAGCAAATGGCATAGGTTGTCACTCAATTAATAAAGCCTAATATCGCACAAGTAATTTTTGCATTTGAATGCTGATGGTGCCGTGCATATGTGCAAGATTAGGAACAGGCCACCTACCTCTCGTTGGTCAGTGCACAAAGCTGGGCACAGGGCCCGAAGCTGGGTACAGTGTGCAGTTTGAATAGGCTACTGATATTCCCTGGGGTTGTTCGGCATGCAAAATGACTTGTAGATCAATGACTGTCAACACAGTTACATGCTTAGTTCGACACAGAAATAATATGTATTTTCAGAAGGTAGAAAGAAGGAGCCCAAAAAATTTTGAATCAGCAATGTATGAATCGATTTTCTGACCTATGCGTGTTAGTTACATTTGGATAGGTTTTTTGTCTGCAGACCGATGCAGTCATATCTTAAACATTTGAATGGGGGACCGATGCCTATCAGTGAATCGTTACATCCCTAATAATTATGGATATGAATGTCATTCTCTTCATGGTGATGTATCCTAAATAGGTACACAAATGTAGAAATATGCAATATCCTCCTTTGGATATTTGGGTGTTATTCTACACACTGGCTATTATTTTAATGAGCTCTGCCCCCAAACCAGGCCAAATTTGGTTGGTTTGGACCAAATCTGAACCAATCATAGTCGATCTTTCACAAGTTTGAACATCAAAGTACCAGTAGAGTAGACTACAGTACAGTATTCAGACCCCTTGACTTTTTCCAAATTTTGTTATGTTACAGCCTTATTCTAAAATGGATCAAATTGTTTTTTGTCCCTCGTCATTCTACACACAATACCCCATAATGAGAATACAAAAACTGGTTTCTATAAATTTTAGCAAATGTATTAAATATTAAAAACTGAAATTTACATTTACATAAGTATTCAGACCCTTTACTCAGTACTTTGTTGAAGCACCTTTGGCAGCGATTGCAGCCTCAAGTCTTCTTGGCTATGACTCTACAAGCTTGGCACACCTGTATTTGGGGAGTTTCTCCCATTCTTCTCTGCAGATCCTCTCAAGTTCTGTCAGGTTGGATGGGGAGCGTGGCTGCACAGCTATTTTCAGGTCTCCAGAGATGTTAGATCGGGTTCAAGTCTGGGCTCTGGCTGGGCCACTCAAGGACATTCAGAGACTTGTCCCGAAGCCACTCCTGCTTTGTCTTGGCTGTGTGCTTAGGGTCGTTGTCCTGTTGGAAGGTGAACCTTCACCCCAGTCTGAGGTCCTGAGCAGGTTTTCATCAAGGATCTCTCTGTACTTTGCTCTGTTCATCTTTCCCTCGATCCTGACTAGTCTCCCAGTCCCTGCCGCTGAAAAACATCCCCACAGCATGATGCTGCCACAACCATGCTTCACCGTAGGGATGGTGCCAGGTTTCCTCCAGACGCGATGCTTGGCATTCTGGCCAAAGAGTTCAATCTTGGTTTCATCAGACCAGAGAATCTTGTTTCTAATGGTCTGAGTCCTTTAGATGCCTTTTGGCAAACTCCAAGCGGGCTGTCATGTGCCTTTTACTGAGGAGTGGCTTCCGTCTGGCCACTACCATAAAGGCCTGATTGGTGGAGTGCTGCAGGGATGGTTGTCCTTCTGGAAGTTTCTCCCATCTCCACATAGGAACTCTGGAGCTCTGTCAAAGTGATCATCGGGTTCTTGGTCACCTCCCTGACCAAGGCCCTTCTCCCCCGATTGCTCAGTTTGGCCAGACGGCCAGCTCTAGGAAGAGTCTTGGTGGTTCCAAACTTCTTCCATTTAAGAATGATGGAGGCCACTGTGTTCTTGGGGACCTTCAATGCTGCAGAATATTTTTTGGTACCCTTCCCCAGATCTGTGCCTCGACACAATCCTGTCTCGGAGCTCTACGGACAATTCATTTACATTTACATTTACAATTCCTTCGACCTCATGGCTTGGTTTTCGCTCTGACATGCACTGTCAACTGTGGGACTTTATATAGACAGCTGTGTGCCTTTCCAAATCATGTCATATTAATTGAATTTACCACAGGTGGACTCCAATCAAGTTGTAGAAACATGTCAATGATGCTCAATGGAAACAGGATGCACCTGAGCTCAATTTCGAGTCTCATAGCAAAGGGTCTGAATACTTATGTAAATAAGGTATTTTTGTTTTTTATTTTAATACATTTGCAAAATTGTCTCTCAACTAGTTTTTGCTTTGTCATTATGGGGTATTGTGTGTAGATTGATGAGGAAAAAACATAATTTAATCAATTTTAGAATAAGGCTGTAAGGTAACAAAATGTGGAAAAAGTCAAGGGGTCTGAATACTTTCCGAATGCACTGTAGTTCAGTAGAGTTCAGTTTGCAGTATATTATAGTGTACTCAACTCTATTGTACTCTACTGTGTACTGAACTCGACTCTACTGTAATGTACTGAACTATGCTCTACGTTTCTTTGCTGTACTGTACTGTCCAAACTTGTGAACCCATCTGTGGTTTATGACTACTATGATTTCCCGTTGTAGCCAATTCAATTGCAGAAATTCCGTTAGCGATTATGTAAAGGAATTTCCTTTTCAATTTCACTTAATAATTAATAAACAAAACTAACTAATTGATAGGTCTACCTTTACCTCTGTGAACTTTCATTATCCTCATTCCTCATGAGGGAGGGAAATTAGAAAATATCTTAAAGATATTTTGGATTTTGGTAACGGAATTTCAAGGCACAAAAAAAAATATGTGTTGCTATTAGTGCAACATTATTTTGTTTTGATGTATTTCTAATACCTTTTAAGACTTTTCTGGTAGATGTTTTCTAAGACCCCTTTCCCATCTATTTAACCCGAAATCAAAGTCTTTGCTTATTCAACATTTTTAGGATGGAAAATGGTTGAAAATGTACTGTATATGTGCCTTAATTTCTAAAAAATATAGACTCTTAGCTTTCATTTGACACCCAATTTGACATGCTCCTATGAACTGCACATGTTGGTGCTCATGGTTCCTTTTCCATTGAAATGACCAGCTGTGACTGCTGTTTCCTGACTACCACTCCTGCAAGTTCAAAATAAACCCTGGCTTCCTTCCTTAGGGCCGGGATGCATCGCTGTATCTAAGGAACTGATATCAGTGCTGCTGACCAAACAAGACAACACTGATCAAACTAAAGGGGATGGCCAAAACCCCACTGCTCAGTAGAACTGTAGCTACCACAGACAAAAACAACCACTTCCTCCTGGGGAGAAAAGTTTACAATTCCATTTAATGTATGGGTAACAGCCGGGCTGATCCTGTGTCTTGAAGCTAAAATATCTATGCCTGAGGCCTGCCCGTAGTTGGCTCACCCGAGGCTGCCTAACCTCACAGGGCCGGTGTCTCTCTGTGTTGGTCTCTTGTCCTGGCTGAGTCCCCGGTGATTGGTGTGTGTTTAATCTAGTCTCAATCACTCCCTTTTCTTCTTCTATCAAAGAGGACCTTGTTTGGGGCCCTGTGTGATGGAGATGTCACTAATGCTGCGACAAAGTCCCCAGTGTCAGGGCCTGGAGCACCACTGCTGATCACTCACAATGAACTCAGAGAGAGACTCACGCACTGGCAGTTTATCTAGACGATGAAAGACCAATTATTTTTCTCTCTACCGTCCCCCGCACTACCATCCTCCTTGATTCAAGTGCAGATCACATGGTTGTAACTTTGTGCTGTGCCCAGGCAGCTCTAGAGGAAGGACGTGGGTGGTAGAGAACAGAGATAGTGGGCAGGCAGCAGTAATGTGTTTGCAGTCTGCACTGTCTCCGTTATCCCTGGATCTTCACTGGCCTTTGTTTCCAGTGTGGAAGCAGTGACACACAGTACCCTCGCTGCTTCACCACAGCAAGAGAGAGGGAATATGGAGGTGCAGAGGGTACAGGGTACAGGGTACAGGGTGAGAGGCAGGGTAGTGGGAGGGTAGGCCTACAGTACAGAAACACTTTGACTGCCTTTGATATTTAACATTTTAGTTGCTTAATGCATTAAGGAAAATTATGGCATGTTGAAAGTTAGATAACCGAATGGATGTTGACATGTAAGATCATTTGAATCTGCAGATTTCCTACAAACCAAAACGAACTGATCTGTCAGACGATTAGACTACTTGCTTGTACTTTTTAAATCCAAAAACAACAAATAATTGATGTTGCAATGCAGTTCTGTGTTTTATGTTTGAGTGGCTTTTGGACATCACTGTTCATGCAATAGAGAGATGCACAGAGCAACATCTCTGCAAGGCACTAAATTTCATTTTTCTTACATAATCTCTCCAAGAGCTCTCAGGGGTGGATTGATAATAAAATGCTTTGATGTGAAGAACGGGTATATTGTCCCAGGAGGGTGCAGCCCCTGCAGCTTATTAGGTAACACGTTTAGGGAAAAAAATCCAGTTTGATTCACAAGGCTCAAGGTGCACCGAACCAAGAGTGCATGGACCTAACAAGATTTCAGGAACTTGTATTTGAGAAAAAAACATTGCATAAGAGTTCCTGTGAAAGAACAATGCCAGTGGAAACAGGGTTCAATTATAAAGATTCTGCTCTGTTCATTTTGATGTGGTGTTTTCCTGCAGTGCCCGGACAGAATAGCCAAACTGGCCCCCTTTTGTCTGTCGTTGTGGAACCTCTAAAGCCTTCCCCTTCCTTTGCCTCTGCAGGGAGCCCCTCCAGAGCTGTGTCCACCATGTCCCTTTCCGTGCGCCCATCGCGCCGAGTCATCTCCAGATCCATCACTAGGAGCCAGTCCTTTGCCGGGGTCAACTCCTACGATAAGCCCTACAGGTGAGGACACTCCGTCTGATAAGGTCAAGTGTACATTACTGTTATAGACCTTACTGGTGAGCACACTTCTGCGTTGACTTTCTACACATACAACAATGCAGCTCTAGGCTACTGTTCTTGACATTGGAAGATTTGTGATACACACTTATCTATTTGACACACACACACACACACACACACACACACACACACACACACACACACACAGACTGTGTGTCTCATGTGGAGCCCCACCTCGACAGGACGTCCTGTAAGGCCCACACTTCCTGAGGCGGCGGTTTTGGAGGCCTCTCCTTTCATGACGAGGGAAAAAGATTTAGTGTTCATTGTAATTTTCCTGCCTTCAAAGCTGAGTTTAATAGGGGCATATGGTCTGCATACACGTGTGTGTGTGTGTGTGTGTGCATGCATGTGGGGGAAGCTTTGGTCTATCAACAAAGTGATTTTCAAAGTGTTCCCTGTTGTCAGGTAGAATGGAGGAAAATGAAGGGCTCTGGAGTTATTTATTAATGAAGGTCCATCTGCTAGAAAACAGGACAGAATGGCGTCAAAATATTTAAGGAAGGACAGAGAGAGGAGAATGGAGTGTGTATGCTTGAGTAAAAGGAGCATGAGTTTGTGATTGTAGTAAAGAGAGATACAGAGGAAGAGAGGAAATCAATCTCTCTCTTACATTTGGCACATTACAGAAAAATACAAATATTCCTTCTGCAGCCTACATATCAAAAATACATTAATATAAAGCAGTTACTAGAGTTATATGTCTGGAGGAAAGGTGTGTTGACTCTGATCAAGCAGTATCTTGCTTTAGTTTTTTTCACAGCTGAAGAGAACATGAGCAGCCTAGACAGACACATAATCTCTCTTCCGTAGCATATTGACTGGCCTGTCATCTGTGAAAGAGGAGTCTTGCCTCACATCGATTACCTGTTGCATTTTATGAAGTTATATTTATTATTTTATTCATCAACTCAGAATGTTATCATCACCCCTGACTGTGCACATCCATGCTTGCACACATTGCAATAAAACCTTCTCTGGAAGGGTGGGTTGGAGATGGCCTGTTCTGTATGAATGATACTTATCTCCATAGCATTAAATGTTTAAATCCCTCTTACTGATTAGAAATGCATTGATTCCATCAACTCACCAACAGTCACGGTGATTGAAGCACTACAGTTTCAGCAGTGCCGTTAGTAAAAGGCGTTGTGTTTTAGGAACCTGTCGGTGTTCAGCACCCCGAGGGTCACCAGGAATCCCTCCAGAGCCAGCAGGATGTTCACCCTCTCCGCCAAATCCCCACCGCCCAAGGTCCCCCAGCCAGAGAGGCTGGACGAGGTCTATGAGGCTCTGAAGAGAGGCCTGCAGTGAGTGTACACACACACACACACACACACACACACACAGAAAGCACTTTTGCACAAAACTTTGTCATGCATGCCTGCTCAGACAGACAGGAAATTGACCTGCCATGTGTCTGTCTCAGGTCTTACCTGCAGGTGCATCAGATAGAGCTGGACAGCCTGAGCCGACAGATGAGGGAGTCCAAGAGGAACTCTCGTCTGGTAGGTACCACCATGTCTTGAATCTGCCTTAAAATGGACGTACGCTCACTTGACCTTGTAATGGTTTTTACTGGACAGTATAGTCATGTGATCTTCTTGTTCCTTTTCAGGGGTTTCTCTATGAGCTGGATAAGGTTAGTTTGACAGTCTCTTCTATGTTATTCACCCACTCCATTGTACAGTATCGCACAGTAATCATATGAGCTTTATCCAAAAGTTTAGGTCTTATAAAACAATCAGACAGCAATCCATTGGTCCCAGATTACATTCTATTCATTATTTGAGCATCAATTTGAAAGAGTCCTCCTTGTGTTTCTTCCAACAGCAAGTGAAAGTGATTGAGAGGTTCATGCGACGGCTTGAGTTCCATCTAAGCAAGGTGAGCCCTGTGTGTGTGTGTGTGTGTGTGTGTGTGTGTGTGTGTGTGTGTGTGAGAGAAAACAGAAAATGATTGTGTGATTGATTGGTAAATAAACTGTGCGCTTGTTTAAGTTATCTTGGATGTGTCAGATGATCGAAATAGACGTGGAAAGGCGCGTTAAGAAAAATGATGTAAACTACATACATTATGTAGGTAGGTTTTCATTTTATTACAACTGAGTACCCACACACTACAGCAGGCCTCACATACAGAAAGGGCCTCTAACAATGATTATGTGTGGGTGTAACTGGCAGGCTTCAGTCTAGGGGTAAGGTCCAGCAGCTCTTGGCTTATTCACTGTGGTTATGAATTAGTGAACATTGAGTGCTGCTCTCTAGCTTTTAAAATAAGCCCTGTGTTTGTACACTCACACACAGTATCCCTGGACATGGTTCACTAGCAGGGGGCGGCCTCATGCTTGTCTCACATTCCTGGTTTGTTTTCTGAGTGTTTTAACCCTATCCTGGGAGAGCAGGATACTGGCCAGGCTGTTAACCTGACACAGCTGCAGCAGCACAGGAACACATCCTCCTCCTCTTCCTCCTCCTCGTCTTCCTCCTCCTACCTTATTGATGTACGATTAGTTTTTGTTTTACGAGCAGAGGGAGCCTCTGACCTCCCTAGGGGTCAAATGTCATGGCCCATCACCTAGGTAAGGAGAGCAGAGGGTTTCTTTTGAATTTGAAAGTAAACTTAACCACTTGTTGACATGCCCTTCCTCTTCCTGGTGACAGTTAGGCTGATTGCCCCTCCAGAAGGTAACAGCAGTGATTGGTTGTTATTCTGAAGGTTCCTTGAGCGGTCTGTCTCAGGGCTGGTTGGGGGGGTTGGGTCGAGGGCAGATGTGCAATCCCCTAGAGATATTAAAATGTTTCTGGTAAAATAACGGTGATAACTGCTTTTAATCGACAGATTAGACTACAACAGATGTGTCATAATTTAGATGTTCCTGAACAGGGCCTCCCTTGTGGGGCACATAGTTCCTCTGGGAAAAAGAGAGAGCGGGAGGGAGAGAAACTTGAGCTGGAGCAGTTAGTGAGCGATGCAGTTGAAGGCTGCCCTGCTGAGACTGCCTCAGCCTCACAGTAACAGTCAGTAACAGTCAGTAACCACCTCCAGATGGATAGAGGGGGCTGATTGGGATGACAGAGGAATCAATCTGGCTCTCCCTCCCTCTCACTCCAGTTCTGCCTGGCCTGGCCTGGCCTCTCCCTCTGCATTAAAACTTTAAAGAGCTGCATTCTTTTTATTTTTCCTCCTTTCCTTTTTTACCCCGTTTCCCCCCTGGGGAGCAATGGCGTCTCTGTGGCCAGCCCGATATGTGTGTATGTTTACGTGCTCATGTTTATACTATATGAGCGTGTGTTTGAAAGTGCAATATGTGAGCCTACGTATGTAAACTTCCAGGAATAGGACTGTGCCAGAGTGCAGTCATTTACTGTTTGTAATCCTTCAGTTTGCTCTGCTCTGCTCAGTGCTTCTGCAATGCAGAGGATTTGGTTGCTCCCCCTCTCCCCCTCTGCATCCTTCTCAGTCTCCCAGTAGCTCCACAGGGGAGCACTTCGGCTTTAATCATCACATCTCAATGGAGAAGCATTTAGGGAATGGCCAAACCAGCCCTGCTGGACGTCTGCAGACTTGTCCTGTTAAATATGGTGATTTTCCGCTAGTCTGACCTTTGGTCCTGTTTGACCTCTACACAGAGTGACCTCTGACCTATGCATATTGCCTACCTAGTGTAGCTTTATTCCAGGTTAACCTCTCTCTCCCACCGCTGATGGGTTGTCCAGGCTGTCCGGAACTGTGTTTCACTAGCTAGTAGTCTAGCAGGTGGCTTTGTTTTTGGCTGCTGTGAGTGAAGTTAAAGGAGGCACACACCGTTACTCACTCCAAAAATCAGTTATTTCATCTTAAACACACATCAACTAGTGTTTGATCGTAAACACACATGGAGGGTAGTTCTATGTAACAAAGAGGATAGTCTTCAGAACAACATGTTGAGACTGTATGAGTGGGTCATCAGGAATGCAGTTACAGAGTGCTGTTGTGTGGAGTGGTGGCTAAGTGGACCAGACCAGTCAGGTGGAGCTAGCCCTCTGTGATCATCAGTAAATTGAGGGAATGTGACAGAAGTGTGTAGAAGTTGAAGGGAGTGGAGCTCTCAATGCTATCAGAATGAAAGGATTGTGATGCACCCTCTCACTCACTCATAAAACACATCTCCCGTGGAGTCAGCTTTAGTGAATGGAGCTCTCATGGTGTTTGTCTGTTAACTAATTCATTCAGGCTGGCGTGTGAGCAGCAGCTCAGCTTATGTATCCACACAGACACAGTGTGGGCCTGACATTATGGGTCACTCACTGTGATGAATCAGGGTGTCTGAAAGTGGGGAGAAAGAGTGGGGCATCATTTAGTGAATGAGTCTCCGCGCTGGAAGTGATGTGCACTGATTCAGAAAACCTGGACAAAGTAAAAACACACAATAACACACTTCTCCTGTGAATGAAAACAATTTGTGATGTTCTGGACAAGGTGAATGAAAGTTGAATCTGTGAGAGTCTGCTACAATGTTATTTGATGGGACATGCAGACAGTGTTGTTTTTGTGTGTGTCAGAGGTTGTATTGAACCTTTATTTGAACAGGGAAGACATATTCTAGGTCTCTTTTACAAATGCTCCCTGTATATACAACAGAATTATACACATTATACCCAAACTCTCTATATATATACACATTAAAACACAAAAGCACAAATAAAATATCACAGATCACCCAGAAAAACTGTTACATTCCTCCACAAATAAGTCCCCAATCAGTACTTTAAATTGCCCGAACTGCACCAGAACATCGAGATGAAATGTATTTAGAATTTTGTTCCAGCAATATGGCGCATTAAAAATGTACCTAGCTCGGTGGAGACCCTAGGAACCTCAAGAGTTAACCAACCCAGTGAACAGGTTAGGAAACTCAGGTGTCTATACTTCAACAGCAAAGTCAGATTAGATGGAAGTTTATGAAGTAGGGGCTTGTAAACAAAAAGGGAGTAATGTAGAGATCTATGGGTCTTTAGCGAAGTCCAGCCAACCTTTTGATACAGGATGCAGTGATGAGTATCAAAACTGTCGCCAGTAACAAAACAAAGGGTACTATGGTAGATGGCATCCAAAGGTTTAAGAGTAATAGCAGCTGCAATTTGATAAAGAATGTCACCATTATCAATAACAGATAAAGAGGTTGACTGAATAATCTGCTTCCTACTGCATAGAGAAAGGCACAATCTGTTTCTGTAGAAAAAGCCAACTTTAAATCTTAGCTTGTTAACTAGCTCATCTATATGTTTTTTTTAAACGTCAAATCCATATCAATCCAAATGCCTAAGTATTTATATGCGGGAACACGTTCGATTGGAGAACCATCGAATGAGTGAACATGTAGTTCATCTGAAACATTCTTACGAGAGTTTGAAAACAACATGTATTTAATTTTGCCCGTATCAACAGCCAGATCAACAGTCAGGGCAATAGCATCATCCGCATATTGATGAAGTTGACCATTTTTATGAGATTGACCAATGGTGTTTATATAAATAGTGAAGAGAACAGGTCCCAAAATCCCTGTTGTACACTTTATGTACTTCAAAAAATGTAGACGTAACCCCATCAATCACGATGGCCTGAGTTCTGTCACGAAGAGGTGACTTCAATAGGGAGGGCTCTCTGCAGGGCAGCTCTGGCCAGTCAGTCAGAGAGTGGCAACATGGTGACGAGGCAGTGGCACGACAACCAGGCTGAGCAGTAGAAAGGATAAGGCCTTAGAGTGGGACCTATCCAGGATACGCTGCAATGTCTCAATTTGCTTACTCTGGATGTCCAGCTCAGACAGATATGTATATTCCGCAATAAGCTGACAGTTTCCACATTGAAAATTTGGCCAGTCAATATTATCCCGGAACTGTGAAAAATAGGTGCAGCTCCTACATGGGATGAAACGATCACCGTAGTCTCTGAAGGTGGTAGCCGCCAATCTGGAAAAAGTCAGTTTCCCTGTATGGCGGAAAGTGGTAGACACTATTTTGGAAAAAGTCAGTTAAAATCCCCACAAATAAAATAGTGTAGGTTGGCAAGGAATCCGCTAAAAGTCAATCAATCCACACAGTGTAATAGTTAGTTAGATTGAATCACACAGTTTGTAGGATCACCACAGTTAGAGGCAGCAAGCCAGAACCCAACCACAGACTAGAAACCAGCCAGCACTAGGACCCACAATAAACACAACCAAGGCACAGAACTCGCCAGCATAACAACACAAGGAGAGAGTGGTGACTTACTCAAAGCGATTTAAATGCTGGGGCCCTTCAAAACAGCAACGCAACGGAGGCCGTGTTACCAGTATGATAGCCAGGAGAGAAGCACCTTGGAGGGGGGATGTACACTCGATGACCAAACGTATGTGGACCCATGCTCGTCGAAAATCTAATTCCAAAATCATGGCCATTAATATGGAGTTGGTCCCCCCTTTGCTGCTATAACAGCCTCCACTTTTCTTTTGTGCACGGGGGCATTGTCATGCTGAAACAGGAAAGGGCCTTCCCCAAACTGTTGCCACAAAGTTGGAAGCACAGAATCGTCTAGAATGTCATTGTATGCTGTAGCATTAAGATTTCCCTTCATTGGAACTAAGGGGCCTAGCCCGAACCATGAAGAACAGCCCCAGACCATTATTCCTCCTCCACCAAACTTTACAGTTGGCACTATGCATTCAGGCAGGTAGCGTTCTCCTGGCATCCGCCAAACTCAGATTCGTCCGTCGGACTGCCAGATGGTGAAGCGTGATTCATCACTCCAGAGAACGTGTTTCCACTGCTCCAGAGTCCAATGGCGGTGAGCTTTACACCACTCCAGCCGACGCTGCTCAGCCATGGAAACCCATTTCATGAAGCTCCCGACGAACAGTTCTTGTGCTGACGTTGCTTCCAGAGGCAGTTTGGAACTCGGTAGTGAGTGTTGCAACCGAGGACAGATGATTTTTACGTGCTACATGCTTCAGTGTTCAGCGGTCCCGTTCTGTGAGCTTGTGTGGCCTACCACTTCACAGCAGAGCCATTGTTGCTCCTAGACGTTTCCACTTCACAATAAAAGCACTTGCAGTTGACCGGGGCAGCTTTAGCAGGGCAGAAATTTGACGAACTGACTTGTTGGAAAGGTGGCATCCTATGAAGGTGCCACATTGAAAGTCACTGAGCTCTTCAGTAAAGCCATTCTACTGCCAATGTTTGTCTATGGAGATTGCATGGCAGCGTGCTCGATTTTATACAACAGGTGTGGCTGAAATAGCCAAATCCACTAAATTGAAGGGGTGTCACATACATTTGTATACATAGTGTATATGTGGGAAAATGAGGTGCAGGAGGAAGTCGTAGACCAATAACAAGGCCAACAACAGGAAGCAGAGGTTATTACTTATATTTATATATGTGTGTGTGTGTGTATGAGGTGCAGTGAGGCCAGTGGAATGTCACCATCTGGACTTCCACTGTATTGCAGTCGCTTCTTAATTTTACAGACACACTTTTTTCAGAGGTCGTTAAAGTGTCAAGAACCAAGGGAAGGATTATGGTGCAATTACATGCTTTATGGTTCCATGATAATGGAAATAGAATGTGTCACGACTAAATGGATTACTACTATTGAAAAAGATTAATGAAGAGACCTTTAGGGTGTACGGTGTATGTTTTAATGTTTGGTGAATAAAATAAAATAAACGAACATTTAAAAAAATGTATAATAAAGATATACAATTGTATAACTACTGTAAAGGACAAATGAATGTAACCATCCATGTGTTTTGTCTTCCTCAGATTGACGAGCTGTATGAGGCCTACTGTATGCAGCACCGGCTCAGGGATGGGGCCAACAAAATGGTGAAGGCCTACACAGCCTCCCAGGGCAGCCGCGAGGCCAGAGAGAGCCTGTCTGAGGCCAACAAGGGCTACAAAGAGTACACAGAGGTGAGGGGTGAGAGAGAAGAGCTGATCAGTGAGGGAAAGAAGGGAGGGAGTACCAGGATAAGATGTACAGGAAGCCGAGGACAGAGTAATTGTCCCGAGACGGAGTTCAAAGACTGCAGGGTAACCTGACTAAGAACAGATGCTCTCGTTCTCCCAGGGCTTTGCTCTATGATATTAGTACAATAATTGTAGTGTTGACTGCCTAATGTTTCTAAGGCTTTTCCATAACGTTCTCTCTTTCTCTCTCCTGCTCTTTGCAGAACATGTGCATGTTGGAGAGCGAGCTGGAAAACCAGCTAGGGGAGTTCCATGTTAAGATGAAGGGTATGTTCATATCAGTCAACTCCATCCTCTTCGTCTGTTGTGACTCCGGGCCCCAGTGTATCTTCGCTTCCTGTTGGTCTAGTCCAATCAAACGGTTGCATTGTGAGATTGTTTGTTTGCTTGTATGTGGCCTTGAAATGTTTTTGTTTGTTGTAGGTCTAGCAGGGTTCGCACGGCTTTGTGCTGGGGACACATATGAGGTGAGTTCATTTATTTCTCTCTCTCTGTCTCTCTCTCTCTCTCTGTTCCCTCCACTCTTGCTTTCCTTGCAGGAGTAGTTTCTGCATGGCTGCCCCAGCATCATCATTCTAAGTGTTAGTGCTGGTGGAGGGAGTGTATATGCTACCGTAACATGGGCTCTCAGAGCTGGGCTATCTGCAGGAGGAGGAGGGTCATTGGAAAAGGAAAGGTGTTAATGTGTCAGTACTGCCTCCATCTGTTTTAACATGCATAGATTTAGTGATGATTGACAGCATAATCGATGTGAGTCAGTGGCACACTCCATTACCTCGCAGGGGGAAGGCACCAATAAACAGAACCTCCAGAGCTTAACTCCGCTTGCAGCAAAACACAAATGACTCAGCGAAGACTTAAGAATAAGGAAATGTGTGAAGACCAAGATGAATGTGACAGTGACTGGCTCATTGTGTGTTTCTGTTATTCCATATTGAACCTAAACCTGACCCCTGACCTTTTAGATCTTTATGAAGTATGGGCGGCAGCGCTGGAAGCTGAGGGGAAGGATGGAGATCAACGGCAAGCAGGTGTGGGACAGCGAGGACATGGTCTTCCTGCCTCTCATCACAGAGTTCCTATCAATAAAGGTATGAAGCAGCAAATCCTGGCCTAAAACTAGTATACAGATGAACACACATACACACACACAGACCGTCTGTCACTCTCACTCACATTCACTTTGTCACATCTGTGTGTGAAGCGAGGGCTCAGGGGTAATGGATATAACAGCTCAGTGAGAGAGGAGAGCAGCTGGATATCAACTTGTTTTTCTCCCTCACTGATTTCATTACTTTGCCCAATCATGTCACGGGATCGGAAAGTCAGGAGACACAGAATGAATGAACGGGGGGGGGGAGAGAGAGGGGAAAGGGGGAAGGGAGAGGGAGAGGGGAGGGGAAGGGAAGGGAGTGGGGGGAGGGGAGAGGGGAAGGGGGAGGGAGAGGGGAGGGGGTTGGGAGAGGGGAGGGAGAGCGGAGGCTCTTTGCTTTCTCTTTTCTTTCTCTTTCTGCTTTCTCTTTCTCTTCCTTTCTCTTTCTCTTTCTCTGTTCCTTTCTCTTTCTTTCTCTTTGCTTTCTCTTCTCTTTTCCTTTCTCTTTCTTTCTCTTCTTTTATCTTTCTTCTTTTTTCTTTCTTGTTTTTCTTTCTTTTTCTTTCCTTTCTCTCTCTTTTTGCTTTTCATAATGTATCATTTTGAGAGCTAATGCTTATCAAAAGCAGGCATTGGAGTGGGGTTTGGAGAGATTTAGATCATACCCGAATCACTGATTGTGATGTGTCTTACTATGGTTTCCTAGGTGACAGAGCTGAAGAGCCTGGCCAATCACGTGGTGGTGGGGAACGTGTCGTGTGAGACCAAAGATCTGTTTGCTGCTCTACCCCGGACGGTGGCCGTGGACATCAATGACCTGGGGACCATCAAACTGAGCCTGGAGGTCACCTGGAAGTGAGTGGCTATCACATCAGTGTGGTGAACTGCTTTAAGTGGATACCACCACTAGTGCACAAACACGTCTTTGTGTATTTGTGTATGTGTGGTGCGCATATATTTGTGTGTGGGTCTAGTATTAAGTTTCTGTGCCCTTTTTATCTCTCTGTCAGCCCTTTCGACAAGGATGACCAAGCCTCGGCCGCCAGCACGGTCAACAAACCCCCCACGGTGAACAAACGCTTCTCCACCTACAACCAGAGTCCTCCTGATACCCCCTCCTTACGGGAACAGGCATTCTATGTGAGTAACCCGGTCCTCTAAACAGTGTCCTCTTTCTTAATATGATCCATAATCCATGGAGTGATGAGCTGTAATTGAGGAATGGTTATTCGAATGAATCTGAGTGATAGCTCTCTCAACCCATTTTTCATTTCCATCCATGGCACCAAAGTCTCCTGCTGTCATCTCATCCAGTCTACCTCAGAGGCACAGTTTGATTAATGATTTTTCTATCTGAGACAGTAACTGTCATATGATTCAAAACGCAGCATCATATGATGCAAAATGCATCATACCGGCTGTATTTCTGTATTTTTAAAGTTATATATCTTGAAAACTTGATTGCTGTTATGCGAAACATTTTGAGACTATATCAACAATGGACTAATGAAACCAAAATACCAAAATAGTTTTTGGGTGGAGTTTTCCTTTAAGGGGGTGTCTCAGCTATAGATCATTCTGTTCATTATGGTACATAGAGCACAGAGCCTGTTACAGTTCTACCAGCTGTACTGAGCCTTATCTTTTTCCTCCCTGGTGACTCACTGATAGTCTGCCGCCAGGTTAATCTGCTGCCAGGTATCCAGGACATGTTCTGTTCTCTGTAATGCAACACGTTGTCTGTCAGCGGTGGTTGTTGTGCTGTTAAGATGCAGCATTAGAACGTCAGGAGGTTTTCTGTACACATCCGCTGGTTCACAAAGCTAACAGGATGTATTGGTCTGTTTTGTCAATGGGCAAGCTAAATACTTCCAGCATCTATTTGTCTTACTTAAATAACTTGATTGAGTTAGAAAAAAAGAATTCCATGTTGCGGTGAAGAGAATGACTGTGTAGGCTAGCTGTGATGTGTAATAGCATTGGTCCACCAGTGGACCGTTCTCACGGCCCTCTCCTGCTTTACCTGGTGGTGTAAAGACGGCTCCGAGGAGCCTGTCAAGGAGCATGATGTCCCCCAAACAGCGCTGGTCCCTGCTGGATGTGTTCCGTGACACTCTGGCTGAGAGACTGTCTCAGAGCTGCTCCTGCAGTGACGTTTCCTCAGTCCGCGTGGGCTCTGCTAACATGCAGACTGACGTAAGTGCTGCTAGCCACTACAGACATCCCACTAGACCCCTCAGTAGTTACTAGTTAAAGGTGTGGTATTTGTGGTAGAGCATGGTAATAGAACCTCCGTAGAAGAACTCACAGTAGATCTTTGTAGATTGTGTTGTGCTGTCAATTGTTGTTTAGAACCTCTGTACTGTTGGCCACTGTAGAATCTCTGTGTTGATGGTTAGATGTGTTCCTTGTGGGTTTTTAAATAGTCTTTAGTAGTATTCTCAATGACAGAGAGCGCTGGGAAACAGACACAGCTTCCAGCTCTCAATATGAAGCCTGTATTTGTTCTTATTGTTCCAGTGAGGTAGGCCTGGATGCCCAGCGAAGCAGAGGCCTGATAAATGAGAAGTTAATTAAAGGGAGCAGGGAGTCTGTTTGCTTTCTGGGCCAGATGCCAGGCAGCACTGCTCTGCTCTGGTCTATAATGGTTGGCATGGGTTTACAGGGGCCGTCAGCCATCTGTCTGTCTGTCTGACTCTCAGTTATCATACTGAATGTCTGCTGGACTAGTCCCATCTTCAAAATGTGATGGTAGTGTCTCCATTTTACTTTGTCACCCTTGTGCTCTTCCTCCCTCCCTCTGTCTCTCTTTTTCTCTCAATGTAGAACATGCTGAGGAGGCAGGAGGAGATGGAGAATGGCACAGCCTGGTCTAACTCCTCGGAGTCATCAGACGACTCATCCAGCCCCCAGCCCTCCCTGGGGCTGCGTCACGCCAACAAGAATCTGGTCCAGCTAGAGGTCCAGGCCGCCGCGCCCTCCATTGAGATCTCCTTTGCTCCCAGAGACTCTGCCACCTCCACCCCTACCCGCTCAGCCAAAGTGGAGGATGTGCAGAAGGATGAGCCAGACACTGGAGCAGCAGGGAAAGAGGAGAATTCTGGGAAACAGGCTGTGCCTAACGGCCACGCACGTTATTCACGCTCCCTCAGCCATATCAGTGAGAACAGTGCCGATGGCGTACTGACGGACAGGTCAACTGGCGAATCAGTGGAGCCCTCTGAGGCCACCTCCCTGCAGTCTGGGATCTCTATAAACGATATTGAGATGGAGATGCCTGCCAGGGCAGAGTCAGCCCCTGTCCCAGCTGAGACTGTGGTGGTCGGGGACCCCTCTGAGCCACTCGCCCCAGCTACTGTGACTGTGGAGGAGAGCAGGCCGGAGAGCAGGTATTCTGCAGTGTCTATAGAGTCAGACACTGGGTTTGAGGTTGTTTCAGGCGCTGTTTCAGAGGTAGAGCCAGAACTTCAGAGCTTTGCACCCACTAGGACTGATGCCGTGTCTCAGCAAGGTGCCTCTCTGGATCTCAGGGCAGACTTACAAGCACAGACCCAGAGCACAGAGGACATATCATACACTGCCCACAGGGCAGTGGTGGTGGAGGCCGAGAAGCATGGGCCTGTAGTAGAGGCCAGGCCCACAGAGGGTGAGAAGCAGCAGGCTGTAGACAATGGAGTTGAGGAAGCCCTGAGTGCAGTCATCGCCTCTCTGGATGACTACAGGGGACAGTTTCCTGAGTTACAGGTCCTGGAGCAGGAGCTCAGACTACTGGAGGAGACATTAACAGTGAGTTATAGCTGTGTGTGTATATGGCTCTGACTCATGTGTTTTATGTTGCACCTGACAATGGAAATGACCACTTCATAAGAGTGAGGGGGGCGTTGGTGGGGGCTGAGTAGATTTCATCGTTCCAGAATCCCACAGTTCCCTGCGGGATTGGAATCAGGGTGCGGAACTTCCTGCCCTTTAGCTCAGTCTAAATGTTTCCATCCCACAATGCTGCAGCGGGAGATGTGTGTACTGTCGCTGGGTGGCCGTCAGCCTCTTAAACGTACACACACCCACCTTCTTCCCAACTGAGACACAGATAAGCATCAGAGCTCACTCAGCCAAACCCTTTGACAAGGCGATAGGAAACACAGAAAATGTTTGACCTTCTGAATTATTCTTCATTTCATCATGTCATAATTTTAAGAACACACTGTTTTGTTCCCAGACACTTTCCTCAGATGATCCTTTTCCAAATACGGGGTGTACACTTACAATCAGGACTTATATGGCGTTGATGTGGATTGCTGAAGAATGTTTGCTTTTGTTACTGTGTGTGTACTGTATGTTTGAGTACGTGTGTGCATGTGTGTTTGTCTCTCTATATCACGTGTCTATGTGTGTGTTCTGAAGGGCCATACATGCAGTTGTTCGTCCAGTGTCCAGAGTCTGGCGGTGGAGACAGCCCTCGGCAGCTTTGACTTCCTCAACACCTCAGACCTGGAGGACGAGGATGAAGAGGAGGAGGATGGGGAGAAGAGGAGTGTGACAGACAGGTCAGGGTCCATAAAATGGCCTCCCTCTCTATGTTCCATCACAGTCAGTTTTAAAAATGAGAAGTTTTGCTGGTGAAGGAGCTAGTTGTATTTCGGTGTGGTTACTTACTGCCATCTAGTGGTGAGCCACTGTAACACATATTTAAATATGCTCTCATGCTAGATGTTTGTAATGATAAGAAAAGTTAATTGGTATTCTGAATGATAATTCCCTCACCTGGTCTAAAGGTGGCATGATATGTAGCGCCATGGCTCTCTGGGGTACCACTCTGGGGTAACAACTCTCCTGATGTGCTCATGCCTGTGCTCCTGTGTGGTTGTTGTGTTTAGTGAGTGCCACAGCGCCCCTGGCAGGCCACCAGAGGAGAGTGCAGGGGAGGATGAGTGCTGTGAGGAGAGATGCTGGGAGTCCCACTCCTCTGGACCTGTGAGCACAGGCTGCCAGGCTCTAGACCATGCCCTACTGGTCCATCTGAAGAACTGCAGTGCACAACTTCTGGTGAGGAACATGACATACTCCATATGAGTAATGTAATAAAACAATTTAAAATTGACATCTGTGGTCTTACCAAATGTCCTGATTTGTTGTATCGGTTTTGTCTATGTGATGCCTGTGACTCCTAATGGCTGGTGCTGTGTGTATTCTTTGCAGAGGTTGGGGACCTTTGGGCCTCTGCGCTGTGGGGAGATGTATGCTCTGGATCGCCTGCTCAGGGAGGCCCGCGTCCTCGAGCTCATCAGACGTGTTGCCAAGGAGACCCCTGGAGGAGCCACTCAGCCAGATGAGGGTGAGTTCATTACGGCTGAAAGGAGGACAATAAAACAACATATTAGTTTAGTCACTGACAGAGCTAAGGCTATAATGACAAAGGCTAACTACTGTAATTGTAATTGATTCAATTACTATCATCTCTAACTTGTTTTCTTTTCTGTCTGCCTTCCTTCTACTGTCCATCTCTCCTGGAGTAGTGGTTCCCCAGTTAGAACAGTGCCAAGGGGCAACATTGCTCTGGCAGCAGTGTACGGATAATGGCAGTGTGTACAGCACCTCCACAGAGGCTTTCCTCACAACACTGGCCGCTGCTTACACCAACAGACTGCCTGAGAGAGGAGTTAGCCTGGCAGACACAGGTATGATACGGTTGTTGTGTCTCTGTGTGTGTCTATCATGCATTATATAATTCATAATATGGTCCTTTGTAGCTCAGTTGGTAGAGCATGGCGCTTGTAATGCCAGGATAGTGGGTTTGATTCCCGGGACCACCCATGCATAAAATGTATGTAAGTCTCTATGAATAAAAGCGTCTGCTAAATGGCATATATAATATTTAAACATAGTGATACATGGTCTAAAACACTCTCCCTAAGGAGGAGTTTGGATCAGCAATGCTCCTGACTTTGATTCCAGTGGCCTATCTGATGTCACATATACACACATTAGAGGGTAGCTGTGATGTGCTATCCTGTCACGTCTGACCCATCTCTCTGTGCTGTGTCTAGTGTTCTTGCATCTGGTGGAGAGGATTCTGGAGAGGAGGCTGCCCAAGCGTGGGGGCGGGGCGGCCAGAGAGATGCTGACCCTCTTCCAGTTCTGGAGCTACCTAGAGGCCGAGGGAGTGAGCGAGCTGGACACACACATCATCGAACTAGCAGAGGAGGGTGAGTGTCTAGGAGATTGACTATGGTTGTGAATGGGCCTCCTTAATTGCTTGGAGTTAGTGTGAATGAATGTATTAATGTGTCTTACTAGGTTACAGACAGCCACTTGGCTCTATGGTCAGTCATGATGAATGTGTGAATGTAGGTCATTTAAATGGCTGATTGCTCTCATTGTTGTTGTTTCACCACACCCACTATAACATAATCACCTCATTCTATTATCTTCTTTCTATCACCATTCCCATCCTTCCTCATTCGCTCTCTTTTTTACTACCTCTCTGTGCTTTTCCTCTTCCTTCCACAACACCCTGTTTCTTTCTCTGTTTCCCTGTCCACCCTCCTCCTCCTCCTCCTCCTCCCCTATTCCCCCTCAGTGTGGCTGGTTCAGAGCCTGCAGTCAGGGGACCAGGAGGTGCTGGTGAAGGCCCTGAAGAGGCCTCCAGAGAGCAGCCTGAAGAGGGAGGGCCTGCATGCTGTCAGCCTACTGCTCAGGGACCCGCGGGGGAAGGTGTCTGCCTCTGCCAGCTCCCTGCTCCGGAGCCTCGCCGACCAGCCACGCCATCGAGAGAGGGTGAGACCGAGACGCATTAATTTCAGGCCATACTCACTGTAGCACTTTTGAAATGCACCTCTTAAAAAGTGTTATCTTGATGCTAGGATCACGAGTGTGGATGTATGTGTGTTTGGGTAAATTATAGTGTATTTTGGTATTTTACCCCAGGCCCTGGTAAGCTGTCTGGAGCTTCTGGAGAATGAGAGCGTGGAGACGAGAGTGTGTGGCTGTAAAGCACTTGCATGTCTGAAGGTCAGTCTTACCACTTAATATTCAAATCTCTTCAACAGTCTCTGTGTTCCAGCTATCTTTTACCTCTACCTCCCCTAGTGTCTGGAGTCAGACTGTCGAGTCCACTCTGTTTTTTATGTTCTGCAGGCCAAAGAGAGCATCGACCAGCTGGTCTATCTCTGTCGATCAGACAAGGAGGATGTGAGGGATGCTGCCAAACAAGCGCTGCTGGTGCTTGGTGAGTAGAAAGATAAAAAGTATACGTTTGATAGGGAACTGAGTGGGATTATTTATGTACAGTGCATTCTGAAAGTATTCAGACCCCTTGACTCTTTCCACATTTTGTTACCTTACAGCCTTATTCTAAAATGTATTAAATTGTTTTTTCCCCTCATCAATCTACACACAATTCCCCATAATGACAAAGCAAAAACTGGTTTTCGAATTTTTTACAAATGTATATAAAAAAATAAAAATGAAATCACATTTACATAAGTATTCAGACCCTTTACTCAGTACTTTGTTGAAGCACCTTTGGCAGCGATTACAGCCTCGAGTCTTCTTGGGTATGACGCTACAAGCTTGGCACACCTGTATTTGGGGAGTTTCTGCCATTCTTCTCTGCAGATCCTCTCAAGCTCTGTCAGGTTGGATGGGGAGCATCGCTGCACAGCTATTTTCAGGTCTCTCCACAGATGTTCGTTCGGGTTCAAGTCCGGGCTCTGGCTAGGCCACTCAAGGACATTCAGAGACTTGTCCCGAAGCCACTCCTGCTTTGTCTTGGCTGTGTGCTTAGGGTCGTTGTCCTGTTGGAAGGTGAACCTTTGCTCCAGTCTGAGGTCCTGAGCGCTCTGGAGCAGGTTTTCATCAAGGATCTCTCTGTACTTTGCTCTGTTCATCTTTCCCTCGATCCTGACTAGTCTCCCAGTCCCTGCCGCTGAAAAACATCCCCACAGCATGATGCTGCCACCACCATGACTTACCGTAGGGATGGTGCCAGGTTTTCTCCAGACGTGATGCTTGGCATTCAGGCCAAAGAGTTCAATCTTGGTTTCAACAGACCAGAGAATCTTGTTTCTCATGATCTGAGAGTCCTTTAGGTGCCTTTTGGCAAACTCCAAGTGGCCTGTCATGTGCCTTTTACTGAGGAGTGGCTTCTGTCTGGCCACTCTATCATAAAGGCCTGATTGGTGGAGTGCTGCAGAAATGGTTGTCCTTCTGGAAGGTTGTCCCATCTCCACAGAGGAACTCTGGAGCTCTGTCAGGGTGACCATTGGGTTCTTGGTCACCTCCCTGAGTTTGGCCGGGCAGCCAGCTCTAGGATGAGTCTTGGTGGTTCCAAACTGAAGGCCACTGTCTTCTTGGGGACCTTAAATGCTGTAGACATTTTTTTCCCAGATCTGTGCCTCGACACAATCCAGTCTCAGAGCTCTACGGACAATTCCTTCGACCTCATGGCTTGGTTTTTGCTCTGACATGCACTGTCAACTGTGGGACCTTATATAGACAGGTGTGTGCCTTTCCAAATCATGTCCAATCAATTGAATTTACCACAGGTGGACTCCAATCAAGTTGTAGAAACATCTCAAGGATGATCAATGGAAACAGGATGCACCTGAGCTCAATTTCGAGTCTCATAGCAAAGGGTCTGAATACTTATGTAAATAAGGTATTTCAGTTTTTTATTTGTAGTAAATTAGCAAACATTTCTAAAAACCTGTTTTCGCTTTGTCATTATGGGGTATTGTGTGTAGATTGATGAATAAGGCTGTAACGTAACAAAATGTGGAAAAAGTCAAGGGGTCTGAATACTTTCCGAATGCACTGTATGTATGTATATACACTATATATACAAAAGTATGTGGACACCCCTACAAATGTGTGGATTCGGCTATTTCAGCCACACCTGTTGCTGACAGGTGTATAAAATCGAGCCCACAGCCATGCAATCTCCATAGACAAACATTGGCAGTAGAATGGCCTTATCTGAAGAGCTCAGTGACTTTCAACGTGGCACCGTCAAAGGATGCCACCTTTCCAAGTCATTTCGTCAAATTTCTGCCCTGCTAAAGCTGCACCGGTCAATTGTAAGTGCTGTTATTGTGAAGTGGAAACGTCTAGGAGCAACAACGGCTCAGCCGCGAAGTGGTAGGCCACACAAGCTCACAGAATCAGACCGCTGAAGTGTGTAGCGCATAAAAATCGGCTTTCCTCAGTTGCAACATTTTTTTTAAACTTTTTTTTTTTTTTGTCATTTAGCAGACGCTCTTATCCAGAGCGACTTACAGGAGCAATTAGGGTTAAGTGCCTTGCTCAAGGGCACATCGACAGATTTTTCACCTAGTCGTCTCGGGGATTAGAACCAGCGACCTTTCGGTTACTGGCACAACGCTCTTAACCACTAAGCTACCTGCCGCCCCAACACTCACTACCGAGTTCCAAACTGCCTCTGGAAGCAACGTCAGCACAAGAACTGTTCGTCGGGAGCTTCATGATATGAGTTTCCATAGCCAATCAGCCGCACACAAGCCTAAGATCACCATGCACAATGCCAAGCGTCAGCTGGAGTGGTGTAAAGCTCGCCGCCATTGGACTCTGGAGCAGTGGAAACACGTTCTCTGGAGTGATGAGTCACGCTTCACTATCTGGCAGTCCGATGGACGAATCTGGGTTTGGCGGATTCCAGAAGAACACTACCTGCCCCAATACATAGTGCCAACTATAAAGTTTGGTGGAGGAGGAATAATGGTCTGAGGGTGTTTTTCATGGTTCGGGCTAGGCCTCTTAGTTCCAGTGAAGGGAAATCTTAACGCTACAGCATACAATAACATTCTAGACGATTCTGTGCTTCCAACTTTGTGGCAACAGTTTGGGGAAGGCCCTTTCCTGTTTCAACATGACAATTCCCCCATGCACAAAACGAGGTCCATACAGAAATGGTTTGTCGAGATCGGCGTGGAATAACTTGACTGGCTTGCACAGAGCCCTGACCTCAACCCCATCTAACACCTTTGGGATTAATTGGAACGCTGGCTGCGAGCCAGGCCTAATCGCCCAACATCAGTGCCCGACCTCACTAATGCTCTTGTGGCTGAATGGAAGCAAGTCCCCGCAGCAATGTTCCAACATCTAGTGGAAAGTCTTCCCACAAGAGTGGAGGCTGTTATAGCAGGAAAGGGGGGACCAACTCCATGTTAATGCCAATGATTTTGGAATGAGATGTTCGACGAGCAGGTGTCCACATACTTTTGGTCATGTAGTGTGTATATATACAGTATATTCCGGTCTCTGACATTACTCGTTCTGATATTTCTTTAGAAAAAAAAATATTTCCGGATTATGTGTGTATTGTTTTATTGCTAGGTATTACTGCACTGTTGGAGCTAGAAACACCAGCATTTCGCTGCACCTGCAAATGTGTGTACGTGACCAATAAACGTTGATCAAGGGGTACAAGGGCACAGAGGGTGGGGTTTCTGTGGGAGGGATCTAGTGAATGAGGGAATAATGGGATAAGATGTTTGAGGGGAAAGAGACACGTGTATGTGTGATTGACGTTCTCTGTGTTCCATCCAGGTGAGGAGGGGAAGCTGGCCCACAGACACGTTGAGACATCACTGCAGGAGGGAGTGCCACGCCTCTTCTCCCCTGGCAGCATGGCCAGCACCGCCTTCTAATGCCACTACAACGGAATACTGATACCATCATGCCCATGTCAACACACTGTTACAGAGCCATTATGCCATACACACATCAAAATATACACTGTCAAAGAGGGTACAATATACCCATATGCAAAGAGGATGCTGACTGTTGCACATGCACTCACTAACACTGGGATGACATCTACAGCTTGACACGAAGTCAGTGAACTAAACTCGCATATTACCAACCTGTGTGTAAATAAGTGATAACTACTCATGAAGAACTGTGGAATTGTAGAATCGATGAAGAGTGGTAGAAATATTTTACTGCCTTACAGTATGTTTTGGTCTGGTGGTGTTGCCTTCTGAGTCAGGTAATTATAGCTGGGATGATGAATGGATGGTAGGACACAACAATCATTGTGTCAGATCATGGCATTGATAGAACAAAGTGGAAAAGTGACATGATTACTTTTCTGGGGAAATGCACTTTTGATCTGCTGAATTTGTGATGAAGCAGGTTGGCGTTGGTCTGTGTTGAGAATGACTGAGTGTGTGGTAGGAGTACTGAAGTAAGTCATGGGGATGGAAGGATTGGGTTGTTCCTCAGGAGATGATGGTGGTGCATCAGTTCCAAATTCTAGGACCACGGTCTGATGAGGAGCTTGTTGAAATGCCGGCTGGGAAAGGAAGTCTGAAGAAAGTTATTACAGTGCCATCATTCCATACTATCATTATATGCTTTATGGAAATATATATTCCCACTGGAAGTGTATATGTTATATAATTGTAGTGTAATTCGGTTGCCATTGTAGAAACAATCTGAGTAAATGCATATTTGGTTTGAGTGCTGATGCCTCAAGTCACCATGCACTTCCTTGGACTCGCGCCACTGGCGATATAACTGAAGATCATTTCTGCTGTATGGGTGGTGGAGTTCTTTTTTTATTATTATTATTGAAAACTTAAAACTGTGGTGGACTGGACTTTGCCTTTTTGGAGCAGACAACTTCTCACTTAAACAGACAACCAGACTGTGCTAGGACTGGCCACCTGCTGGCAATATAGTGTGGAATTAGGGAGTGATGAGAACCTGCATTCACTGTATATTATTTACTTTGCAGAGTCATCCGTTTTATTATATAGGACTTCAAAATAACAATAGACAACTTAAAAAGCTCCTTCAGTGTATAAGTGCCTCAAGTTAGTGGAGAGTGGTTTAATGAGACATGAGATGAGACTAAGAATGAAGAGATGCAGTGCTAATAGAAACACTGCAGCAAAGTATATTTTCCATGACTCAAATTGTGCAGCATTAAAATAAGTGATTTTCTTTAGATTTTTTTTTTTTTTTTTCTATAAGAGTATAGTCTGGCAGATATCTTGCCTGGCATCAAATGTAAACGAATTATTAATAAAAATGTGTTCAAAAATGAAGTTTCCTTTAGCTGTGATAGGGAAATTATACATTATCACCCTTCTATGTTAATTACATTTGGTCATATTAAAATAAACAGACACATAGCTAATGAAACTGTCGCCATGGCTTTTGGCACAGCCATGAGGGGCAGACACACATTATTGTTCAAACTGATAGAAAAACCTGGAAAAAGTTGATGACTAACATTGAATGGCTCAATTATATGTACAGGTTTTCAATAATTTTGGTACAACTACATTAGAGGCAGACACATTCAGATAGGGTTTATTATTATTTATTATAGGCCTGTTGAATAAATATATAATACACCCTGTGACAACAGATTAACTTGACATTCATATGAAGTTAGAAATTCTATCAGATTTATGATAAATAACCTCAAATGATCTATTCATGACTGTACCTTATTTCAAAAGTAGCGCCCCACATGGCCAATCCCCATAATTCAATGTTTACACCCACCCCTTCGCCACCGCCCCCCTTCACTCTGCACAGGCGCACGAACTTCACAAGGCCGCCATTTTGTGCGGAGCCTATTCTGAAAAAGCGGGAGAGGATTAAAACCCCCGGAGGAGAAGGGCGAAATTCTCAGCCATCTCGGTCAGATTGAAGAACATACTCTGGGCTTTCTATCGAATTCAGCGAGGAAATAAACGGCGAAGAGCAGGTAAAGTAAGAGTACTTTCCAGAAAAGGGGGGAGCTTTGCAGGAGCTTTAATCGGCCTCTAGGTGTCACGATGGGGCTCCCGGTCCAGGCGGCAGACGGGGGGTGTTTGTCTCCCTCTATCGTTATTGAAAATTTAGCAAAAAACATTTATAACCCAGAAGTTCAACGAAATTTTGCAATAACGACTCATTTTGGAGCTATATTAGTTTGCATTTCGGAAAGGATCGACCAATAAAGACTTCAACGTGTTGGTTTAGTTCTAAGGCCAGGCGTCCATTTTCTTTTTCTTCGTCTTTGTTTCCTGCCTTTTCACGGAGTCGAGATGGAAACTCGCGGCTGCGTATCAACTCAACGCGCGCCAGATTGCAGCCCAGAACAACGAATTTTCTAAAGCGCACATACATAATTTTGCTACAGTAACTCATAGCGAACGTTAGTTGTATACAGCTAGCTAACTACCCGTCCAACGCATAACTTGTTAGCTAGACCGCTAAGTTAACTATGTAACGTTACTTTCAACGCCACTAACTAGTATTGTTAACTAATAAAGCCAGCAATTATCGAAATTATAAGTACAGTAACAAAACTGTTTGCTGTCAATGTTTTCGCCCACAAGCACAACGGCCTTCGCAACAGCTAGCAAACCCCTACCATTGACCTAGATAACTTGGATAACTTGCTAACTGTTAGTTTGATAGAGGTTATAGTTTAGCTAACTAATTATCATATTTTAAAAGCTAGCAATTAAACAAGTCCAAGTCAAGACGATTCACAATTTTAGCAGGCGCCAGCTTCTTACTAGCTAACGTTAGGTAGCTAGATTGGCTTGTTGCGCAGACCGAATTAAAACAAGGAAGATGCATAGCTAGCTAAATGACCCCGATAGCCGTTTCCAGTAAAACGACGTCTCCCTCCGCCCTAAATTTAATGCGCATGTAATCTAGAATTTTTAACGAAATGTCTTCTGCAAGCTCACTGCAGTTCATGTTCCATCCAGTGTCCGTTGTCTGATTCAAATCCTACCTTGAGCTACAACGACACTAGCTAGCTCGAATTGATAAAAACAGGGTAGAGCTCCCTCTACAACCCGGCTGGTAGCGGTACAAAAACATGACTAGCTAACGTTAGCTAGCTATATGACTTCATGTCCTCTATCAAAATTGCGGCCCGCAATTGCAGCCTGGCCGTACTAGCTACGAATGTCTGTGCGCATTCAATTCATGCAGTAGGTTTATGTAGAAAGTTCAACTTGTTTGTCTTCCCCGCAGGTTGAGTGTCAGGTAACAGTCAGGAGAGTTGAGTCAGAAATTGAGGAAGCCAAGCAGGTCTAGAAAGATGAAGTATTCCTTTCTGGTGCAGGTAACAATTTAGGAAGTTGCATCAACTTTATCTGAGATCTTGAGTGAACTGAACACTATGCCATTTTCTGTCTGTTAGGCCTAGCAAGATTGATCATATGTCCAGGTACTGAAAAGTGTTTTAAAATCCCTGCAAATAGAAAATACAGTTTCAACATTTATGAATAAAGGAGTTTACATTACATTGCTAGATTGTGTGCTGATTGTTGGTTTTGGGTTGGCTCTCTCAGGTATTACCAATGGACGGAGGACCAACTGACGTTGTGGTTGAGGCCAAGGACAGCATCACCTATGAGGGGGAGGAGGTGGTGGCAGACCTGCTCCAGCAAGCAGCAGAGGGGGTGATGGACGAGCAGCCAGCGGGAGAGGCATGTCTAGATCCCCAGCAGCTGGTGGATGGAGTCAATGTGGAGATGATGGTAATGGATTCCCTGGACCCGGCCCTGCTGCAGATGAAGACTGAGGTGATGGACGCCCCTGTGGTCACAGCCCACGAGGCCACTGTCACCACTGTGGATGAGACCCAGATCATCACTCTGCAGGTTGTCAATTTGGAGGAGCAGCAGCTTGGAGGCCTTGGGGAGCTACAGCTAGTCCAGGTGCCTGTCTCTGCTGTGCCCGTAACGCAGGCCACTGTAGAGGAGCTACAGGGAACCTTTGTGGACGCCACGGCCATGCCCAAAGATGGAAATCCTATGATCTGCCACACCCTGCCCCTGCCAGAGGGCTTCCAGGTAAGAGACTGCACTTCACTAGACTAGATATTACATAATTCAGAGCTAATGGAAGCATCTTTTCCCAGTGGTGTACAGCAGAGTTTTGTGCCACTGGTGCATATCTAGATGTACTAGTTCTAGAGAAACTTTCAACACTACTGCTTCTTCAGGTGGTGAAGGTGGGTGCGAATGGTGAGGTGGAGACAGTGGAGCAGGATGAGCTCCAGCACCAGGAGGAGCAGCAGGTCCAGCCTGAGGAGGAGGAGGAGGAGCTGCACTGCGAGCCCCAGACTGAAGACCCACAATGGACCACGGACCCAGACTACCAGCCCCCAGCCAAGAAGACTGCCAAGAAGGCAAAGAAGAGCAAGCTGCGCTACAACACAGAGGGGGACAAAGACAACATGGATGTGTCTGTCTATGACTTTGAGGAGGAGCAGCAGGAGGGGATGCTCTCTGAGGTCAACGCGGAGAAGGTGGTGGGCAACATGAAGCCCCCCAAACCCACCAAGATCAAGAAGAAGGGTGAGATTACTAGCACCCCTGCTTGCTGTGTCCTTTGTTTATAGTGAATGTTGTAACTCAAGTTGTGGTGCTGTTTGCCTCTGCAAGTGCTGACTCTAGGCATTTGTATGCTCCAGGTGTGAAGAAAACATTCCAGTGTGAGCTGTGTAGCTACACCTGTCCCCGCCGCTCCAACCTGGACCGACACATGAAGAGCCATACGGACGAGAGGCCCCACAAGTGCCATCTGTGTGGAAGGGCCTTCAGGACCGTTACCCTGCTGAGGAACCACCTCAACACACACACAGGTATGATGTCATCAGTCACATTGAAGGACGGTCCTATATTGCTAGTCCTGTCCATGTTGGATACCGTTATAACTGTTCTGTCTACAGGTACCAGACCACACAAGTGTCAAGATTGTGACATGGCCTTTGTGACCAGCGGAGAGCTGGTCCGACATCGTCGCTACAAGCACACTCATGAGAAACCCTTCAAGTGCTCCATGTGTGACTATGCCAGTGTGGAGGTGAGCAAGCTGAAGCGGCACATCCGTTCCCACACCGGGGAGCGTCCGTTCCAGTGCAGTCTGTGCAGCTACGCCAGCAGAGACACCTACAAGCTGAAGAGACACATGAGGACACACTCGGGTGAGGCACAGCCACAAGGAAACTGTGTAAACACAATTAGTGACTGACCTGATTGTTGAACTTGTTCACTCATGTTTCCTTGCTTTGTTTTCCAGGAGAGAAGCCATATGAATGCTACATCTGCCACGCCCGTTTCACCCAGAGTGGAACCATGAAGATGCACATCCTGCAGAAGCACACAGAGAACGTGGCCAAGTTCCACTGCCCCCACTGTGACACAGTTATCGCCCGCAAGAGTGACCTGGGTTAGATACCTAGACGTTGACTTGACCTGATCATCCCAATATGATGACCGCATGATTTGGACATTTCCACCGTAAACTTAATCGTGCTTGAACTTGCCTAATGTGTATACAGATGACATCTCTCTCATTAAGCTGGTTTTAACACCCCTCTCTCCTCCAGGTGTCCATCTGCGTAAGCAGCACTCGTTCATTGAGCAGGGCAGGAAATGCCGTTACTGTGATGCTGTGTTCCACGAGCGCTACGCTCTCATCCAGCACCAGAAGTCCCACAAGAATGAGAAACGCTTCAAGTGTGACCAGTGTGACTACTGCTGCAGACAAGTAAGAGGGCCTGCTGTCTGTAACCTGGGATGATTGATGGATCTAGACCAGCGTAAATGTACAGTGTAGGATGCTGGGTAGCTACGGCGATGGAGTCAATGCCCCTTTTGTCAGTAATTATCCAATCAAGGTCATTGGCAGGAAGGCAAGGGTTTATGGAAATTGGTTCTATGCTGATTGTTTTGTGATGGAGTTGGTCAAATTTCCCAGCAGTTTCTCTGTCCTTATGCTGTGTTTCTTGCTTTCTTTGCATTGACTAGGAGCGCCACATGCTGATGCACAGGCGCACGCACACAGGAGAGAAGCCTTACTCCTGTAGCCAGTGCGAGAAGACCTTCCGTCAGAAGCAGCTCCTGGACATGCACTTCCGGCGCTACCATGACCCCAACTTTGTGCCGACTGCCTTTGTGTGCACAAAGTGTGGCAAGACCTTCACCCGCAGGGTATGGACACTTACTCAAACACAAATTAACTGAGTGGAAGAATACACCTATGTTTTGGACATAGCCCTTCATTTTATTTATTTTACATTTTGTGTTCCTCTCCTTAGAACACCATGGCCAGACATGCAGAGAACTGTAACGGGGATCCTGGTGAAGGAGAGAATGGAACCCCACCCAAGAGAGGACGAGGTGGGAGGAAGAGGAAGATGCGCTCAAGGAAGGACGATGATGACGACGACAGTGGTGAGAGGCCTGTTTTACAGAAACATATCTAATTGTAGTGGCCTATTAACTTTGCTATAGTAAGCTTTTTCAGTTCACACCTCTACTTACTATTGCTTGTTGAATGTAATGAGATCAGTGTTACTCTTTTTAACTGTTCCCATCTCCAGAGGACAATGCTGATCCTGAGCTGGATGACATTGATGAAGAGGATGAGGAGGCTGAGGCGGCACTGCTGGAGGATGAAGAAGAGGAGGAGGAGGAGATGGAGTTGGAGCAGGCTCCACCCACCAAGCCTATCCCTGCCCCTGTGGAGCCTCCCGTGAAGAGGAAACGCGGTAGACCCCCCAAGAATGCGCCCAAACCCGCCTCACCTGCCAAAGCTAGCAAGGCTACCCCTAAGGGCAAGGCTGCTGCAGGTGAGTTAAACCCCACTGGTCCTATGTCATGGAATGTCTAACTCTATGCCCATTTTATGCCAAGGTTAATGACCATTTAATGCTGCGTTATAATGCCTGGTGTTACCTCTGTCTCCTCAGCAGCAGCCATCATCCAGGTGGAGGATGAGAATACAGGTGCCATAGAGAACATCATAGTGAAGAATGAGCCAGAGGCTGAGCAGGCTGCCATAGAGGTGGTGGTTGAGCAGTCAGAGGAGGCAGAGGCAGGGGTGGCGCTGCCTGTAGCAGAGGTTGCGTCCAACGGAGATCTCACCCCTGAGATGATCCTCAGCATGATGGACCGGTGATCTAGCCCACACAGACAGCTCAAGGACTTCCCCCTTCTCTCAACATTTCCCTTCAAGTCCACCTTCTTCATATGATCTGCCATATTACAAACCACTCCGCTTTACTCTTTATTTTCATAATTTGTTTTTAACAAATCTGTGTTTCTTTTCACTCTCAAACCCACATCCTTCCATGCATTCACTGTAACAGTTTAAGTTCCAATTGCTTTGGTCTGGGGCGGCAGGTAGCTTAGTGGGTAAGAGCGTTGTGCCAGTAACCGAAAGGTCGCTGGTTCTAATCCCCGAGCCGACTAGGTGAAAAATCTGTCGATGTGCCCTTAAGGCACTTAACCCTAATTGCTCCTGTAAGTCGCTCTGGATAAGAGCGTCTGCTAAATGACTAAAATGTAAATGTAAAAATGTCTGTAGAAATGTAGATTTTGGAGGGTGGATAAATTGGTGAAATAATGGATCCATTCTCTACTGTAATCTATTAGTGCATGGAGGGGTGGTAGCTGAGGTTCTACACATGGTGGACATTGGGACTTACTGTAGTGGTCAGTTGTGTCCCCCCCCTTCACTCTAACAACTATTCTCTTAACCGGTTTGTGACCTTGACATGGCAACAGTGAGTGCCAAGTGAGCCTTGGAATCTAGAACCTTATATCTGCTGTAGACTAAAACTGACTTTTGAAAGGAACTCCTTTCTTTTTTGACATTTATTTACTGCATATTCCATTTGACTTATTATTATACTTGTCACAGATTATGAAGTTTGTAGAGCCTTACATCAACATCAAATTAACTATTATAATCAGGCCAGGGACAATGGATTCATCCATCCACAAAGTTTAAGACCGCGGTTGTTATGTTGTACAAAAGGTAATCTGGGCTGGTTTTGCTTGTAAATACTTTTATTTTAGTTTTGTTACCAACATTTTAATATTTTTCTAGTGATTTAAAGACCTTTAATGCTGGAGGAAAGGAACTCAACCGTAGCTGTTTGGAACACAGGTCCTATGTGGCTTTCTAATCTCTAATGTGGGAGGCTTTGCCCACTTTGAGAATCATGTTGGCAATATGACCTTCCCTGTTTTGAGCTTTTTAGCCAGAATATTTGTAGTGGCGTTATGGAGGTACATTACATATTCTTATCCCACTGTTCATCCCAAACCACAGTCACTAATGTTATAGTTTTTGAAAGATGACCATGTCTTGTTTTGCATTTCAAGATGAGGTAAAGAGATAAAGTGATGTAAAATGTGTTAATATTCTTAAAAGCTTTAGTCAAGATCTGTGTTCAACTCTTACCCTACGAGGTCCGGAGCCTGCTGGTTTTCTGTTCTACCTAATAATTAATTGCACACACCTGGTGTCCCAGGTCTAAATCACTCCCTGATTAGAGGGGAACAATGAACAAATTCAGTGGAACTGGCTTCGTGGTCCAGAGTTGAATTTGAAGAGGGAGGTGTCCAATTGAACTAGCTTCAGGTCTTAACTGTAAATTAAATATGATTGTTGAGGCTTTGGTAATCTTGTGAAGCAGAATCTTTCTCCCAGTTCACTGTTAATTTCTCAGACCGTTTTGTCCTAACTGCATAGTTTTGTTTTGGGATGTGTACAGGAGCGGTCAGAGGGCCTTGAGAAATTCTGATAATGAAGTTCAAAAAGGGGAGGAGAGAACTATGAGGGAAGGATATTTTGTATAAAGTTTGTTACTTGTTTAAGATGACTATTTACTTTCTTTCACAACATTTTAATGCTGATACAACCTGACATTTCCTCCTATATGTAATTGCATTGAAATTGTTTTTTGTCAAGCGCTTAAATTCTGGGTTAATGCATTTTTGTACCTGGCTGTACTGTGTGAATTTTGCAATGATCTGAAAACAAACATAAATACATGTATTATGGCTGGGTTGGGCTGAGAGGGCATGTATGAGGAATGTATTGCTGTACAGCTAATAAAAAGATATTGGCCTACTGTGTTCTTTTTGTGGAAATGTTTCTCTTGATATTACTATGTTATTACAGCAGATCATGTAGGGATCTTTATCAAAGGTGATACTGAAAGGCTTGTCATATCCTGTCTCAGGGCTTCAAGCTTGCTGTGGTTTCACTCTGAGTGTGATTGACAGCTTTGCAAACCCTGGTACATGGCATCGGCTGGGGCTTGTTTATCTTTTTGGCCATTTGTTTTATGTTGACCACAGGGGCTACTATATGAGCTGTGTTTGTTTTAGTGTGTAGAAGAGCAGCAGCTGGTTATCTGGAACAAAGTGCTTCAGAAGGGTTTCCAGGCGGCGGGTTGTTCACCCCTAATTAAAGCAGGTTACTGTTTTCTGTCATGAATCTTGTTCTGGAGGCTGCCCTGCGGAGTGATCACTAGCTCATAAATCATAAAATCTGATTTTAAACCTAACCATAACCACACTCCTAACTTTAAATTAAGACCAAAAAGCAACAACAACAAATCCATACATTTGTACAATATAGCCAATGGATGTAATTGTGTTTTTTTGTCAATCTTGATTAGATCATTATTCAACTCTGAGTCAATACAAGTTAGAATCACCTTTGGCAGTGATTACAGCTGTGTCTTTTTGGGTAAGTCTCTAAGAGCTTTGCACACCTCGATTGTACAATATTTGCCCATTATTCTTTTATTAAACTCTTCAAGCTCTGTCAAGTTGGTTGTTGATCATTGCATGACAGCTATTTTCAAGTCTTGCCATATAATTTTAAGTCAAAACTGTAACTAGGCCACTCAGGAACATTCAATGGGCTAATATAAATACTATGCATGCCAGTCTCTCTTAGCTAAGAGTTGAGGAGAGACTGACTGCATCACTTCTTTTTATAAGAAACAATGTGTTGAAAATCCCAAATTGTTTGCATAGTCAACTTACACACACACTTACCCCACCAGACATGCCACCAGGGGTCTTTTCACAGTCCCCAAATTCAAGAAAGCGTACAGTATTATGTAGAGCCATTATTGCATGGAACACCGTTCCATCTCATATTGCTCAAAAGAACAGCAAACCTGGTTTAAAAAACAGATAAAGCAACACCTCATGGCACAATGCCTCCCCTTTTTGACCTAGATAGTTTGTGTGTATGTATTGATATGTAGGCTACGTGTGCCTTTTTTAAATTGATGTAGTTCTGTCCGTGAGCTGGTCTTGTCTATTCATGTTCTATATTATGTCATGTTTTGTGTGGACCCCAGGAAGAGTAGCTGCTGCTTTCGCAACAGCTAATGGGGATCCTAATAAAATACCAAATGTTGTCTTGGTAAGCAACTCCAGTGTATATTTGGCCTTGTGTTTTAGATAATTGTCCTGCTGAAAGGTGAATTTGACTCCCAGTGAACCAAGTTTTCCTCTAGGATTTTGCCTGTGCTTAGCTCTATTCCATTTATTTTTATCCTAAAAAAACTCCCTAGTCTTTGCCAATGACATGTATACCCATAACATGATGTTGCCACCACCATGCTTGAAAATATGAAGAGTGGTACTCAGTGATGTGTTGTGTTGGATTTGCCCCAAACACTGTATTCAGGACAAAACGTTCATTTCTTTGCCACATTTTTTGCAGTATTACTGAAGTGCCTTGTTGCAAACAGGATGCATGTTTTGGAATATTTGTATTCTGTACAGGCTTCCTTCTTTTCACTCTGTCATTTAGGTTAGTATTGTGGAGTAACTACAATGTTGTTGATCCATCTTCAGTTTTCTCCCATCACAACCATTAAACTCTTAACTGTTTTAAAATCACCATTGGCCTCATATTGAAATCTTTATACACCATCCAAAGCCTAATTAATAACTTCACCATGAGCAAAGGTCTATTCAGCGTCTGCTTTTTATTATTATTATACATCTACCAGTCTGTATTGAAAAACCTCCCTGGTCTTTGTGGTTTAATCTGTGCTTGAAATTCACTGCTCGATTGATGGACCTTACAAATAATTATTTGTATGTTTGGGGTATAGAGATGGGGTAGTCATTCAAAAATCATGTTAACTACTATTATTGAACACGAAATGAGTCCATGAAACTTATTATGCAATTTGTTAAGCAAATATTTACGCCTGAGCTCATTTAGGCTTGCCATGATAAAGGGGTTGAATACAATACAATGACTTAAGACATTTCAGATTTTCATTTTTTATTAATTTGTAAACATTTATAAAAACATAATTCCACTAAATCAGTAAATCAGTGACACAAAATGTAAATGTAATACATTTTAAATTCAGGCTGTAACAAGACAAAATGTGGGAAAAGTAAAGGGGTGTGAATACTGTATCTGTTTTGCAATGTGGCTGAAGTTACCAGGTTCCACCTGCAAGTGGAGCTCTTCAGCTGATTCTAGCTCAATCTGACAGTTGACAGTCTGCACTGCTATTTGAATGGGTGAAACTTTGAATAAACCTCCAATACACAGTTGGCTACATACAACGAGGTCCATACAACTTTGATGTAATGTCCTTAAAACAAGTCAAAATGAGGCTCAGTAGTGTGTGTGGCCTCCACGTGCCTATATGACCTCCCTACAACGCCTGGGCATGCTCCTGATGAGGTGGCGGATGGTCTCCTGAGGGATCTCCTCCAGGACCTGGACTAAAGCATCCGCCAACTCCTGGACAGTCTGTGGTGCAACGTGGCGTTGGTGGATGGAGCGAGACATGATGTCCCAGATGTGCTCAATTGGATTCAGGTCTGGGGAACGGGCGGGCCAGTCCATAGCATCAATGCCTTCCTCTTGCAGGAACTGCTGACACACTCCAGCCACATGAGGTCTAGCATTGTCTTGCATTAGGAGGAACCCAGGGCCAACCGCACCAGCATATGGTCTCACAAGGGGTCTGAGGATCTCATCTCGGTACCTAATGGCAGTCAGGCTACCTCTGGCGAGCACATGGAGGGCTGTGCGGCCCCCCAAAGAAATGCCACCCCACACCATGACTGACCCACCAACAAACCGGTCATGCTGGAGGATGTTGCAGGCAGCAGAACGTTCTCCACGGCGTCTCCAGACTCTGTCACGTCTGTCACGTGCTCAGTGTGAACCTGCTTTCATCTGTGAAGAGCACAGGGCGCCAGTGGCGAATTTGCTAATCTTGGTGTTCTCTGGCAAATGCCAAACGTCCTGCACGGTGTTGGGTTGTAAGCACAACCCCCACCTGTGGACGTCGGGCCCTCATACCACCCTCATGGAGTCTGTTTCTGACCGTTTGAGCAGACACATGCACATTTGTGGCCTGCTGGAGGTCATTTTGCAGGGCTCTGGCAGTGCTCCTCCTGCTCCTCCTTGCACAAAGGCGGAGGTAGCAGTCCTGCTGCTGGGTTGTTGCCCTCCTACGGCCTCCTCCACGTCTCCTGATGTACTGGCCTGTCTCCTGGTAGCGCCTCCATGCTCTGGACACTACGCTGACAGACACAGCAAACCTTCTTGCCACAGCTCGCATTGATGTGCCATCCTGGATGAGCTGCACTACCTGAGCCACTTGTGTGGGTTGTAGACTCCGTCTCATGCTACCACTAGAGTGAAAGCACCGCCAGCATTCAAAAGTGACCAAAACATCAGCCAGGAAGCATAGGCACTGAGAAGTGGTCTGTGGTCACCACCTGCAAAACCAGTCCTTTATTGGGGGTGTCTTGCTAATTGCCTATAATTTCCACCTGTTGTCTATTCCATTTGCACAACAGCATGTGAAATGTATTGTCAATCAGTGTTGCTTCCTAAGTGGACAGTTTGATTTCACAGAAGTGTGATTGACTTGGAGTTACATTGTGTTGTTTAAGTGTTCCCTTTATTTTTTTGAGCAGTATATATATATATATATGTCTCTCTCTCTCACACAAACACACACACACAAAGGTTTGTTTCTGTTTACAATTTTCCACCAGGTGATGACTCTTATGTTGTCCACAGCAAGCAATCTGTCAGGTTAAGTCACACATTTGTGAGTGCTTGTGTGTTTACCCGTGTCTTAAATACTGTCCCTCTAAGTTAATCTGTAAACCAACTACTGTAGATGCGTACATCCTTACTTGAGCCTGGTTGTGATCAGTCAGTACTAACTTCAGTAGGACCTACAGTACTAGCCTGATAGCTTACAGAGGAATGAGGAAATTATTTAAACAGAGACTTTTGGTACACTACAGTTACCTATCTCCCTCTAGAATAAATACCCAGCCAGTGCAAACAGAGTCCCAGCACACACAGCAAACACATGGAAACCTCAGGCTCAAGTCAAGTATTAACTTACAGAGCAGAGGAAGGGAGCATTGTTTTGAGAAGGTCATACCAAGGATCATTTAGCTATTTGATTTAGAATTTTAAGACCCCTTGAAATATCCCAAAAATAAACAATAATTATTTGCTGAATAAATATTTTTGGCCTTACTGCTAGCCCATACAAACACATTGAATAACAGATTCACTACATGGAACAACAGATAGTCCCAAAAACAAAATCAAAAGAAAGTTTGTTCTGAAGTGTCTGTCCTATATCTGAGAGATATAACAAAGATCAGGGAAACATGTAAAAAAAATAATTGACATGCATTTAACCCCTTATTTTGAGAGGGGGCCAGCTGCGACATCATCTCTCAGAGCAGTCATCCCTCAGGGTCTCGATGCTGCCACCTACTGACATGTCATTTTTCTGAAAAAGTGGGGGTTTCGAAAGGAGTGGATGTTTCGAAAGGAACCATACAGTATAAGCAGAAGTGGGGGTTTCCAAAGGTGCCACTCAAGACGTCGTTTGGGTTATCGGCCGTTAGTCCTGGTCTGCAGATATGACAGTAAGGAATTTCAGTTATGCAAAAATAAATGTCTATTGACTCACTGTGAGCTTTGTCTTTGAATGTTTCCTACCGGTAGCCATGTATGTAATGTAAAGTTTTCGTAAATGTAAATGCTAGCCAACGTTAGCTACCTTAACTTATGAAAAATGCATTACATTTACAATGCATTATTTGTTATTGAATATTTAAAATAATAATAATAATAATTGAAGTATCAAGTCATGGCGTTTCTAGTGGTTATGGAATTCCAGCGCTTCTGGTGTTAAAAGACTAGAAAATCCCCACTTCTCCTTATATGGTACCTTTCAAAACGCCCACTCCTTTCGACACCCCCACTTTTCCTGAGAGATACACTCCACTGAGAGATTACAAACTGTATCTGTTTTTTTGCATTGGATGCGTCTCAATCCACCGCATCTGCCTATGTCGCAGAGCTAGAGCGGTGTTTGTCAGACGATGAGACATCCCGAAAATCAGTCTTCTCACAAGCGTCTTGGGACTCGTCTGAAGTCAGTACAGCCGATCTGCTAACTTCTGTCTGTAGCGTCCGATCAGTTTGGGCTACACACTACAGGCCTCACAAGAGTCGTCTGTACCAGTTGAAAAAATTAATGGAAGTACAGTATATATGGACAATGTTTACTGCCGAAAATAATTAATAGGGGCCAGCTGCGACTTCATCTCTCAGAGCAGTCATCCCTCAGGGTCTCGATGCTGCCACCTACCAGTGGCGGAAAAAGTATCCATTTGTCATACTTGAGTAAAAGTAAAGATATCTTAATAGGAAATGTCTCAAGTAAAAGTGAAAGTCACCCAGTAAAATACTACTTGAGTAAAAGTCTAAAAGTATTTGGTTTTACATATACTTAATTATCAAAAGTAAATGTCATTGCAAAAATGTACTTTAGTATCAAAAGTAAAAGTATAAATAATTTGAAATTCCTTATATTAAGCAAACCAGTTGGCACAATTGTTCGTGTTTTTTAAATTTGCGGATAGCCAGGGGCACACTCCAACCCTCAGACATCATTCAGAAACAAAGCATTTGTTTCAAAAGGAACCATATAAGGAGAAGTTGAGATTTCTAAAGGAGTCTTTTAACACTAGAGCTCAGTGACTTTCAACGTGACACCGTCATATGATGCTACCTTTCCAACAAGTCAGTTCGTCAAATTTCTGCCCTGCTAGAGCTGCCCCGGTCAACTGTAAATGCTGTTATTGTGAAGTGGAAACATCTAGGAGCAACAAGGGCTCCGCCACTGTTGTGAAAAATAATCACTATACTTTATTAAAAATCAAAGTTCTTCCAGAGTTTTTGTAGAATCAAGATTTGACTTTATTTACAATTCAAACAAAGCTGTGCTGATCTGCAGAGTAGCCCATTTTCTCTCTCTCTCCTCCCCCTCTATATAGTCTCATTCACACACATCCTAGCTTAAAATCCCTCCCTCTTCAGTTTCCCACTCTCTATCGCTCCGCCCACTTCCTTTGTCTATGATGGCGGCTAAATTCAACTTTTATTCAGTTCAGAATCAATAGTAATACAATCAATCAATCCCTTATCTTGCAAAAACACTCATGTTTAGTTTAAACTCTGTTCAACCCCAGCTCTCCTGAGCTTGACCTGGAGATTGATTGTTGGACATGACAGGTTCACACTTAATCTTTCAAACACACCCAAACCTACTCCTCTTCCCCTCCCACCATGCTGTAATTACTCATGACTAGTCTAAACGCTGTTCAACTTTGGCTCCGCTCTCAGAGCCTTTGTTTGAGGAGAGCTGCATTAGGCCACAGTCTGGTTTCAGTCTCTGATAAGGTAGGACAGCCATGGATTTAAGTAAGAGCGAGCACACAGTGAAATGACCCAATGAAGTTATTGGGTCATTTGGGTTATATTCTGCAGCAGTGGAAACGCATTCTCTGGAGTGATGAATCACGCTTCACCATCTGGCAGTTCGACTGACAAATCTGGGTTTGGCGGATGCCAGGAGAATGCTACCTGCCTGAATGCAGAGTGCCAAATGTAAAGTTAGGTGGAGGAGGAATAATGGTCTGGGGTTGTTTTTCATGGTTCGGGCTAGACCCCTTAGTTCCAGTGAAGGGAAATCTTAACGCTACAGCATACAATGACATTCTAGACGATTCTGTGCTTCCAACTCTGTGGCAACAGTTTGGGGAAGGCCCTTTCCTGCTTCAGCATGACAATGCCCCCGTGCACAAAGCGAGGTCCATACAGAAATGGTTTGTCGAGATCAGTGTGGAAGAACTTGACTGGCCTGCACAGTGCCTTGACCTCAACCCCATCGAACACCTTTGGGATGAATTGGAACGCCGACTGTGAGGCAGGCCTAATCGCCCCAATATCAGTGCCCGAGCTCACTAATGCTCTTGTTGCTGAATGGAAGCAAGTCTCCGCAGCAATGTTCCAACATCTAGTGGAAAGCCTTTCCAGAAAATGGAGGCTGTTATAGCAGCAAAGGGGGGACCAACTCCATATTAATGCCCATGATTTTGGAATGAGATGTTCGATGAGCACATGTCCACATACTTTTGGTCATGTAGTGTGTCTCTATCTTAAACTGACATATTTTATGGGGATTTTTTAATTATGCTAATTAGATGTCCATGGGGGGCGCGGACATCGACCTTAGGGGGTTAACCTGTTTGAGTCAGTATGCCTTTCCTGTGTTTGTATCAGTGCTTCACTGTTGACCACAGTCTGGTCTCTCCCTGCAGGTGGAAAGCTCCTTCAGCTACTGTATCTAGAGATTTATGCTGTCAGCATTGAGAGCCTCAATCAGGTAAAACAAATGAACTTCTTCTATGTCTGAAGTTACATATGTTTTATAGTATGTCGTTCCTTACTTGAATGATTTGAATTCTGTGTTTTTTAGTTCTTCATTGACATATTTGAAAGCTGCCATGCAGTAGGATGCAAGTAAGGGACTGCATTTTCCTCTTTATTTTGATTAAATCCACTTCATATTTACATACAGTATGTAAAGGGAGGGGGTAGTGATAGTGTGTTGCTGGCTGAGCACATCCTTACCACCATGGTTACCTTTGTATGGGTGTTAAAATATTTATGTCCGTTTGAAAATTAACAGCCCTGATTGGCCATAGGCTAGCTCTGATCACTGCTGATCATGTAAATTATTAGTGTGCTGAATCAGAGAAAATGAACAGTCAAACATTCCTAATGTCCTGCAATCCATCACCATCCGTTTACTATCAGTATTGGTGTCACGCCCTGACTCTGGGGACTCGTATATGTTGAGTCAGGGTGTGTATGTTCTATGTTGTGTATTTCTATGTTGGTGTTCTATTATGTGTAGATCTATGTTGGCCGGTGTGGTTCCCAATCAGAGGCAGCTGTCGCTCGTTGTCTCTGATTGGGGACCATACTTAGGCAGCCTATTGGCACTGTGTAGTTGTGGGATCTTGTTCCGTGTTAGGTATGTTGTTTGTGTACCTTGGACTTCACGTTTCGGTTTTTTGTTTTGTCGTTGTGTTTAATAGTCAAATAAACATGTATGTATATCACGCTGCGCCTTGGTCTGACCCGTTCATGAACGAATGTGACAATTGGACCTACCACATAAGGAGATGGTAACTATTATACCAAAACTTCAGATTTCCATCCACTCATCTGAAGAATCCCCTCTGTCTGCACACCTCTGGTCCCAGTCCGTATGCACAGGATGCAGTCAAAGGTCACCAGATTTTTGTCAGGGCTCTGAGACTGGTGGTTCCTCTTCTGTAGCGCTTCAGAGGTTAAAACTCTCCGTCCTGTGATGGGAAACATTAGTCACCACCACTGGTTCAGGTCCTCAGGGGGGAGTGAGCATGTGCAGACACTGTCATTCTCTCTCTGGCTGTCGCTTAGTGACACCATGATGACAGTGAGAATCTGTAGAACCCCTGGTGAGAATGTATGATGTGTTGTGGTTTTGTCACACTCACAGTGACAAGGAAGTGAGGGATCATCTGGAAATATTAGTTGACCCTGACATTTGAAAAGGCTTCAGGGCCACAGACATGATTTAAAAACAGAAGTGGAGGCTCTGAAGTGTTATGAAGCATAGGACTGTGTTCAACAGCATCGTGTTTATCTTACTCACCACTCACCACAATGTCTACAGGTATTTAGTCACACCAAATGGACAAACAGAGACGGAGTTCATGTGTTCAGAGTTCATGTGTCTATGTGGCCACTAACAACTATATTATTTTGCCAATCTTTCAGTCCGAATGTGTCTCTGTATGTCTGCATGGTGTCAGTAGTGACAGATTCCTGCGTATGTACTGTTGACCATTCAGGTGGTGATTGACACGGACAGACAGACCTATTCTCTCAGTCTGACGTCTGTTGAGGACCTCGAGGCTATGGTCAGTCATGTGACAGCTTCTCTGAAGAAGATCTTCCCTGATTCATCTCCAAGGTGAGTGTCATGGCAATGTAGTTAAACATTTCCCTCCCTCAAGCCTTGTGAGTGTTGCTTGTGATGTACTTATAGCAGAAACCCCTGAGGTGAAAAATCAACCCATTAACCAACTGATTAGGGATCCTTTGTGCTCCTCTTCTATCCAAGGAATGGTGGTTTTCTTACTCACTTCTGAATCATATTCCAATCCAATACCAATGATAAAATAGATACCTAATGTAAATATCTGTAATATCTGAGGGTTAAAAATGTTTGACATCTACATGTGTATGTGTTTCTATCTCCTGCTCTCAGGAAGATCCTGAAGAAGATCCCTCCAGACCTGCAGGAGCGGCTGTGGAACCTGGCAACCCGGGTGGATGAGCACCTTAGTGGAACACTGGGACCATGTGGTCAGTAGAATCAATCATACCACTGCACCAGTGTCACGTCATTTGTGTGTATCATACTATGTGGACATTGTGTAGGTGTGTGTGGACATGGATTTGTACAGTATCTGATCTCTCTGTCATTCCTTGGTTCTCTACACTACAGGAGGCATCTCAGAGACGAATGCTGCTCTATGTGACTTCAATGAGTTCCCCTGCAGAGAGGAGGTCCAATGGGTCCGTAGGCTACCATCCCCCTATGATGACACCACATTAAATGTTTCTGATAAATGTATTTTTTCTACTATAAATATCAACTGATGGAGTCATACATCAAGAATATTAGTAAATATATGTATTATTTCTATTCTTTCAGGATGTTGACAACATTTACTATGCCCAGAATGGTTTGGAATTCAACTTCCTGGATTTCAGTCTTCTGGAAAACAGAGATTTGGCCTTGTCAGTGGATGCCCTCTCCTTCAACCCATGGTTCACCAAGCTCTCCAGCAAAGACCTCAAATTGGTAAACCTTTTAGCCACATCCTGATCTGTTTTTCCAGGTCCAGTTAGAGAGCACACTATCTCATGTTATTACACAGCGTGATGCTTATCTACCTGAGTTATCTTGCTCTGAGTCTTGCACTCTCTGGTCCTGTCATCGATGTCACATCCATGAGTTTTGGCAGTGTGAGCTGAGGATGGGATCCTGTGGCTGATCAAACTGTCCGCCTGGACAATGCTGCAGGGTCTAGCAGCGCTTATCAACAGTCCACACATGTGCACACAGACCGCTGTGCCCTGGAAGCAGGGCGCCAAAATGACTTCATAATCTAGCTACTGTTGTGTTACTGGAACTGCAGTGCTTTTAGGCAATCACCTGGTTATGATGGAGGTCAGGGAAATGACCTTCACGATATGAGAGAATTTGTGTGTAACGGCACAGATGTAATGATATTATTCTGGGTCGTTCCACCAATTCGGTGCCTTTTGAGAAGTGTAACTTAGTAAAAAAAGTATATATTTCACAAAATTGTTACGTTTTGTCATAAAGAGCACATGTTCATTTTCATAAAAAACATGTTTTCCCATCTCAAGAAGTTAAATAATAAAATGACTATAGTAATTGTCAAATAAAGTATCATGGTTGACCGTATCAGGGTTGACCGTATCAGGGATGACCATAACAGAGTTTACGATGTGAAAGGGTTGACAATGTGACAGGGGTAATGGAAGCTTGTTGTTTGCAACAGGGAGTGGCAATTGAATGCAAGCTTAACAGGGTTGGCGTGTTATGCTCGACCAGCTCAGTTTTCCACATCAAAACACCAGCAAATGGCCAAAAAGAGTAGAACCAGCTCATCTGCTCTATGATTCAACTATTAGATGTTCAATGTTTCTTTAAAAAAAAAAATATATATATAAAAAAAGGAATAGGTTCACCATATTAAAACAAGAGTTCAGTTCATGTAACAGGGTTGATCTGAAAATGAGGGACAGATTAATCACTAAGCAAAATAGAAAATAATATTCAGAATTGTTTTGGGGGTCAAAGCAAAAAATAACTAGGGTTTACAATGATGGTGGAACTTGGATACATTTTGGGATTAAGTGGGTTGAAATCTTCCTAGAAGTGACACAGGGTTGACGGAGGGACATGTCAAAATGCTGCATTTTGGCACTTTAGCAAGGCTTTATTTATATAAAAAATCAGAACCGGCTTTTGAAATTGGTGTGCAATTTCTACTTAAAATATCAAAGTGATTCAAAAGGCACTTGTTTTGTGGAACAACCTTTCTATAGGCTTACAGAATTTCCTAGAAAGGAAGAAATAGACATATGACCGTAGAAAATGCTGACACCGAAGATTCTCATGGAGATTAGATTTGCTGCCAGTTTATGAAGATGGGATGGCTAATGATTCAATACATAGTAGAGGAATGATTATTCCCCCTCTGTATCTCTCCCCAGAGCTCAGAAGTCCAGGAGCAGGTTCTCTTCATGATCAACAGATCCTCAACCCTGGAGGAGGTGTGTCTGGAAGGAGGTGGAGTCAAACTGTAAGTAGCCTACTCCACGTGATACTCCTCACCTTTCTAAAACATCCCTCCCTCCTTAAATCATTCTACCTGGTGTCTGAGGCACTGAGGAAATGGGAAATATTTGGATGACATTTGATTTATGTGATTGGTTCACTTTATTATTCATTTTAGTTCCACATTAATAACTAATCTCTGTTCCTCTGTCTCTCTCCGAGCCCTTTCTCTTGTAGGAATTTTGCAGTGAAGATGGCCTGCGGCCTGCGAGATCACACCTGCTCCGCCATCCACACCATCAATCTGTCAGCCAATCATATAGAGGACAAAGGTGAGCCTTTTCTTATCATAAATAACTTTTGGGGTTTGTCAATGTCCATTGCTGGGGTTCCCTATTCAAACTTGCCTGGACTGGCTAGTGACTACTCATCTGCTCATGTGTGTTACCTGTCATCAGGTGTGATAGCTCTCAGTCAGGAACTGGAGAACCCAATGGTCTCACCCAGCTGTCCATCTCCAGGATTGCTGTCTCTCCCAAAGGTACAGTGACAGTCAAACTCTTCTGTCTGCTTCACCCTTTTGTTCATTTTCCATAAAGATACTATGTCTTTGTGTTGATACTTATCTTGTGATAGTTTTCACATAGAGTATTGCATTTCTCTTTCTCATTCCTCTTTCTTGCCCCCTCCACCTCTCAAGGGTTGGCTAGTCTGACTCAGGCGTTCTCTCAGAACAAGGCCTTCTCCAGCTCTCTGTGTCACCTGGACCTGTCAGGGAATACAGGCAGTCTGGCTACAGAGTAGGCTGTGGTGAGGGCGGGGGCAGCACTTGTTTTCAGTTCACTGCTTAGAATTCATTGCTCCATACACTATCACACTTGAACAAAGGTCTATACTGTAGGTGCTGTTAATTTCAGCTAAATGCATTTTGTGTATAATGTATAGGGGTGGATACTATGGAACATTAACTCCCTTGATTATATTCAGTAATGGGTTGTCTATGAAAGGTTATTTGCTGTAAAGGTAAAGGGAGTTTGTTTTGCCAGTGCAGTCTCACGTGTCAGGATATGCATGCTATTTGATACTGATATGACTTAATGATGCAGGAGGCATCTCAATCAGAGTAATATAATTATTCCACAGTACAGAATTGAATTGAGTTGCCCTGTAGATGGTTTTGGCTCTAGAGGACCATAGCACTGAATAGCTTCATATCTCTTCCTGTCAGAACCTGTTTAAGTTCCTCTCTGGGACAAATGCTGTGTCTTACCTGGACTTGAGTGGAACTGACTGCCCTCTGGATGCTGTAAGTGACCTTTAACCTTTTACTTCTGGTCATGACAATAAAACCTAATCAGGCTCTGTAACCTTTGTTAATTTGAATATTATTAGCCTGATATGCATGTTTGTGCCATTGTGAAATAATGCACTTTACATCCCCAACGTACTTCTACTTCTCCCCCTAGCTGTTTGTATCTCTGTCAGCAGGCTTCTGCTCCAACCTTGCTCACCTCAACCTGTCCAGGAACCCCTCCTCACACAGGTGAGAACCCTGCTTTCCATGTGTCATCTTGACCGGTGTTATCCGACCCATCCGCTGACCTCTCTCTGTCCCCAGGAAGGTGCGGGAGGTGACAAGGACTGTAATTTACTTCTTCAGTAAGAGCTCTGAGCTAAAATATGTGGGACTGGCAGGAACCAAACTACCCCCAGAGGCTCTCAGGTGCGCACTGATGGAATGCCATACCAGAAAATGTAAATGTGAATGTGATACATGTCAAACAGAATGTGAAGCTTACTTATAGCACTGGGTGATACTGTATGATACTGTATGTGTTTGTATTTTGATTTACACATGTATACTGCTGTTTGATACACATATTTTATTTTATGCAGATTGTTGTTGCAGGGTCTGGCCACAAATACTAATCTGTGTGGGCTGGAGCTAGACCTGAGCGGCTGTGAGGTGGACACACGCAGTTACACATACAGTGAGGGAAAAAAGTATTTGATCCCCTGCTGATTTTGTACGTTTGCCCACTGACAAGGAAATGATCAGTCTATAATTTTAATGGTAGGTTTATTTGAACAGTGAGAGACAGAATAACAATAACAAAATCCAGAAAAACGCATGTCAAAAATGTTATAAATTGATTTGCATTTTAATGAGGGAAATAAGTATTTGACCCCCTCTCAATCAGAAAGATTTCTGTCTCTCAGGTGTCTTTTATACAGGTAACGAGCTGAGATTAGGAGCACACTCTTAAAGGGAGTGCTCCTAATCTCAGTTTGTTACCTGTATAAAAGACACCTGTCCACAGAAGCAATCAATCAATCAGATTCCAAACTCTCCACCATGGCCAAGACCAAAGAGCTCTCCAAGGATGTCAGGGACAAGATTGTAGACCTACACAAGGCTGGAATGGGCTGCAAGACCATCGCCAAGCAGCTTGTGGAGTTGCAATGATCATGAGAACGGTGAGGAATCAGCCCAGAACTACACAGGAGGATCTTTTCAATGATCTCAAGGCAGCTGGAACCATAGTCACCAAGAAAACAATTGGTAACACACTACACCGTGAAGGACTGAAATCCTGCAGCGCCCGCAAGGTCCCCCTGCTCAAAAAGCACATATACAGGGCCGTCTGAAGTTTGCCAATGAACATCTGTATGATTCAGAGGAGAACTGGGTGAAAGTGTTGTGGTCAGATGAGACCAAAATCGAGCTCTTTGGCATCAACCCAACTCGCCGTGTTTGGAGGAGGAGAAATGCTGCCTATGACCCCAAGAACACCATCCCCACCGTCAAACATGGAGGTGGAAACATTATGCTTTGGGGGTGTTTTTCTGCTAAGGGGACAGGACAACTTCACCAAATCAAAGGGACGATGGACGGGGCCATGTACTGTCAAATCTTGGGTGAGAACCTCCTTCCCTCAGCCAGAGCATTGAAAATGGGTCGTGGATGGGTATTCCAGCATGACAATGACCCAAAACACACGGCCAAGGCAACAAAGGAGTGGCTCAAGAAGAAGCACATTAAGGTCCTGGAGTGGCCTAGCCAGTCTCCAGACCTTAATCCCATAGAAAATCTGTGGAGGGAGCTGAAGGTTCGAGTTGCCAAACGTCAGGCTCGAAACCTTAATGACTTGGAGAGGATCTGCAAAGAGGAGTGGAACAAAATCCCTCCTGAGATGTGTGCAAACCTGGTGGCCAACTACAAGAAACGTCTGACCTCTGTGATTGCCAACAAGGGTTTTACCACCAAGTACTAAGTCATGTTTTGCAAAGGGGTCAAATACTTATTTCCCTCATTAAAATGCAAATCAATTCATAACATTTTTGACATGTGTTTTTCTGGATTTTGTTGTTGTTATTCTGTCTCTCACTGTTCAAATAAACCTACCATTAAAAATTATAGACTGATCATGTCTTTGTCAGTTGGCAAACGTACAAAATCAGCAGGGGATCAAATACTTTTTTCCCTCCCTGTACATGCACACACACACATACAGTGGGGAGAACAAGTATTTGATACACTGCCGATTTTGCAGGTTTTCCTACTTACAAAGCATTTAGAGGTCTATAATTTTTATTATAGGTACACTTCAACTGTGAGAGACGGAAATCCAGAAAATCACATTGTATGATTTTTAAGTAATGAATTTGCATTTTATTGCATGACATAAGTATTTGATACATCAGAAAAGCAGAACATAATATTTGGTACAGAAACCTTTGTTTGCAATTACAGAGATCATACGTTTCCTGTAGGTCTTGACTAGGTTTGCACACACTGCAGCAGGGATTTTGGCCCACTCCTTCATACAGACCTTCTCCAGATCCTTCAGGTTTTGGGGCTGTCGCTGGGCAATACGGACTTTCAGCTCCCTCCAAAGATTTTCTATTGGGTTCAGGTCTGGAAACTGGCTAGGCCACTCCAGGACCTTGAGATGCTTCTTACGGAGCCACTCCTTAGTTGCCCTGGCTGTGTGTTTTGGGTCGTTGTCATGCTGGAAGACCCAGCCACGACCCATCTTCAATGCTCTTACTGAGGGAAGGAGGTTGTTGGCCAAGATCTCGCGATACATGGCCCCATCCATCCTCCCCTCAATACGGTGCAGTCGTACTGTCCCCTTTGCAGAAAAGCATCCCCAAAGAATGATGTTTCCATCTCCATGCTTCACGGTTGGGATGGTGTTCTTGGGGTTGTACTCATCCTTCTTCTTCCTCCAAACACGGCAAGTGGAGTTTAGACCAAAAAGCTCTATTTTTGTCTCATCAGACCACATGACCTTCTCCCATTCCTCCTCTGGATCATCCAGATGGTCATTGGCAAACTTCAGACGGGCCTGGACATGCGCTGGCTTGAGCAGGGGGACCTTGCGTGCGCTGCAGGATTTTAATCCATGACGGCGTAGTGTGTTACTAATGGTTTTCTTTGAGACTGTGGTCCCAGCTCTCTTCAGGTCATTGACCAGGTCCTGCTGTGTAGTTCTGGGATGATCCCTCACCTTCCTCATGATCATTGATGCCCCACGAGGTGAGATCTTGCATGGAGCCCCAGACCGAGGGTGATTGACCGTCATCTTGAACTTCTTCCATTTTCTAATAATTGCGCCAACAGTTGTTGCCTTCTCACCAAGCTGCTTGCCTATGGTCCTGTAGCCCATCCCAGCCTTGTGCAGGTCTACAATTTTATCCCTGATGTCCTTACACAGCTCTCTGGTCTTGGCCATTGTGGAGAGGTTGGAGTCTGTTTGATTGAGTGTGTGGACAGGTATCTTTTATACAGGTAACGAGTTCAAACAGGTGCAGTTAATACAGGTAATGAGTGGAGAACAGGAGGGCTTCTTAAAGAAAAAACACTGTATGTGTTTGCAGTTTGGGCATTGATTGGGGACATTGCCCTGTGTAGGGTGCCGTCTTTCGGATGGTATGTTAAACGGGTGTCCTGACTCTCTGTGGTCACTAAAGATCCCATGGCATTTATGGTAAGAGTAGGGGTGTTAACCCAGGTGTCCTGGCTAAATTCCCAATCTGCCCCTCATACCATCATGGCCACCTAATCATCACCAGCTTCCTATTGGCTCATTCATCCCCCCTCCTCTCCCCTGTAACTATTCCCCAGGTCGTTGCTGTAAATGACAATGTGTTCTCAGTCAACTTACCTGGTAAAATAAGGGTAAAATACAACATTAAAATAAACACACATACACACACCTCACTTTTTTTTATCAGGCTGATAATCACATGTACGAAAATGTATGCACTCACTGCTGTAAGTTGCTCTGGATAAGAGCGTCTGCTAAATGGCTCAAATGTATAATGTAATGTAAATGCGTATTATGTGTGCAGCTGAGGTCTGCTGGAGCCCAGGTGATTCAGGAGCACATCAATCAATCAATCAAATACATTTATAAAGCCCTTTTTACATCAGCAGATGTCACAAAGTGCTATACAGAAACCCAGCCTAAAACCCCAAACTGCAAGCAATTCAGATGTAGAAGCACAGTGGCTAGGAACAACTCCCTAGAAAGGCAGAAACCTAGGAAGATACCTAGAGAGGAACCAGGCTCTGAGGGGTGGCCAGTCCCCTTCTGGCTGAGCAGGGTGGAGATTATAACAGTACATGGCCATTAAGGCCAGATTTTTCTCCAAGATGTTCAAACGTTCATAGATGACCAGCAGGGTCAAATAATAATCACAATGGTTGTAGAGGTTGCAACAGGTCAGTACATCAGGAGTAAATGTCACTTGGCTTTTCATAGCCGGGCATCATAGCCGGGCATTTAGAGGTTGAAATAGCAGGTGCGGTAGAGAGAGAGAGTTGTAAACAGCAGGTCTGGGATAAAGTAGCACGTCCGGTGAACAGGTCAGGGTTCCATAGCCGCAGGCAGAAGAGTGGAACTGGAGCAGCAGCACGACCAGGTGGACTGGGGACAGCAAGGAGTCATCAGGCCAGGTAGTCCTGAGGCATGGTCCTAGGGCTCAGGTCTTCCGGGATGGGAGGGAGAGAGAGAGAATTATAGGGAGCATACTTAAATTCACACAGGACACCAGATAAGACAGGAGAATAACACCAGATGTAACAGACTGACCCTAGCCCCCTGGCACATAGACTATTGCAGCATAGATACTGGAGGCTGAGAAAGGGGGGGTCGGGAGACACTGTGGCCCCGTCCGACGTTACCCCCGGACAGGGCCAACCAGGCAGGATATAACCCCACCCACTTTGCCAAAGCACAGCCCCCACACCATCAGAGGGATATCAACAGACCACCAACATACTACCCTGAGACAAGGCTGAGTATAGCCCACAAAGATCTCCTCCACTGCACGAGCCCAAGGGGGGCGACAAACCGGACAGGAAGATCACGTCAGTGACTCAACCCACTCAAGTAACGCACCCCTCCTAGGGACTGCATGGAAAGCACCATTAAGCCAGTGACTCAGCCCCCGTAATAGGGTCACATCTTTGAAGCCAAGGCCATCAGCAGTCTGGACTTCTCTGACAATGGTACGGTTCCAAGCCCACCCCTTTTATCACTCTCTCTCTCTCGCTCTGTGGAGAGGTGTGGGTTAGATGGAGAGAGTACAGACAGGGGTGGTGTGTGTGTGCTAGGTGGTGCCAACCAGCAGGTGATAAATAACACACGATTCAGATCATATAACATAGAGAGAGTGGGTGGGTGGGGGGGGGGGGGGGGGGGTGGTAGATTGGCTGTTCTGAGAACTGTCCAAGGAGTCTCCATTGGGGTCAACATTAAGAAAAAACAACAACATTAGAATAGAGTATTCTCTATATACAGTTGAAGTCGGAGGTTTACATACACTTAGGTTGGAGTCATTAAAACTTGTTTTTCAACCACTCCACAAATGTCTTGCTAATATACTATAGTTTTGGCAAGTCGGTTAGGAGATCTACTTTGTGCATGACACAAGTAATTTTTCCAACAATTGTTTACAGACAGATTATTTCATTTATAATTCACTGTATCACAATTCCAGTGGGTCAGACGTTTACATACACTAAGTTGACTGTGCCTTTAAACAGCTTGGAAAATTCCAGAAAATGATGTCATGGCTTTAGAAGCTTCTGATAGGCTAATTGACATAATTTGAGTCAATTGGAGGTGTACCTGTGGATGTATTTCAAGGCCTACCTTCAAACTCAGTGCCTCTTTGCTAGACATCATGGGAAAATCAAAAGAAATCAGCCAAGACCTCAGAAAATAAATTGTAGACCTCCACAAAGTCTGGTTCATCCTTGGGAGCAATTTCCAAACGCCTGAAGGTACCACGTTCATCTGTACAAGCAATAGTACACAAGTATAAACACCATCGGACCACGCAGCCGTCATACCGCGCAGGAAGGAGACGTGTTCTGTCTCCTAGAGATAAACGTACTTTGGTGTCAAAAGTTCAAATCAATCCCAGAACAACAGCAAAGGACCTTGTGAAGATGCTGGAGGAAACAGGTACAGAAGTATTTATATCCACAGTAAAACGAGTCCTATATCGACATAACCTGAAAGGCCGCTCAGCAAGGAAGAACCCACTGCTCCAAAACCGCTATAAAAAAGACAGACTACGGTTTGCAACTGCACATGGGGACAAAGATCGTACTTTTTGGAGAAATGTCCTCTGGTCTGATGAAACAGAATTAGAACTGTTTGTCCATAATGACCATCGTTATGTTTGGAGGAAAAAGGGGAAGGCTTGCAAGCCGAAGAACACCATCCCAACCGTGAAGCACGGGGATGGCAGCATCATGCTGTGGGGGTGCTTTGCTGCAGGAGGGACTGGTGCACTTCACAAAATAGATGGCATCATGAGGAAGGAATATTATGTGGCTATATTGAAGCAACATCTCAAGACATCAGTCAGGAAGTTAAAGCTTGGTCGCAAATGGCTCTTCCAAATGGACAATGACCCCAAGCATACTTCCAAAGTTGTGGCAAAATGGCTTAATGACAACAAAGTCAAGGTTTTGGAGTGGCCATCACAAAGCCCTGACCTCAATCCAATAGAAAATGTGTGGGCAGAACTGAAAAAACATGTGCGAGCAAGGAGGCCTACAAACCTGACTCAGTTACACCAGCTCTGTCAGGAGGAATGGGCCAAAATTCACCCAACTTATTGCGGGAAGCTTGTGGAAGGCTACCCGAAACATTTGACCCAAGTTAAACAATTTAAAGGCAATGCTACCAAATACTAATTGAGTGTATGTAAACTTCTGACCCACTGGGAATGTGATGAAAGAAATAAAAGCTGAAATGAATCATTCTCTCTACTATTATTCTGACATTTCACATTCTTAAAATAAAGTGGTGATCCTAACTGACCTAAGACAGGGAATTTTTACTAAGATTAAATGTCAGGAATTGTGAAAAACTGAGTTTAAATGTATTTGGCTAAGGTGTATGTAAACTTCCGACTTCAACTGTATTTCTATCCAGGAATCTCAGAGGGCAACCGAACGCTGAGGAAATATATATTCAAGGGATAAGAAAACAGTTGTTTTTCGATGAATAACACTTTTTCTGCATTATTATAACTTACCATTATTTTTGGATCTACCAATAGAAAATGAAAAATACTGTTTTCTCTTCTCCTACTATGACCTCTCTCAACCCTGGTTCTGGAAACACATCAGAGCTAATCAAATGCTTGACCGCTGAGAGGACCTCAAATCAGGCCGTGTTATTTCTGGAGCAGGTAGACGAGGGCAGGCAGGGCTCCCAGCTTCCCACAGACAGACCTCCATGCAGCACTGAGCAGTAAGGCCAGACATGTCAGTCAGAATTGACACAGCACTGCTGGGACACTGAGGCTCCAGCATCCAGCACCTGCCTGTCTGCCAACCCAGTTCCTCATCCCTCACTTCTAGTGATCACAACGACCTCACACTGACTGGAACCAAGACTATGATGGCTCCCTACTTTCTTCTAGACCAGCCAGTGGCTCAGATATAGAGACCATTCGTTTTCATGGAGAATGCAACTTTCAAAAGGCTCCAGGGAATCCTAATTAGTGTATTTATGACAAAATAGGCTCAACATTACCAGGATGTGTACTCCGAGCATGTGCTGACCAACTGGCAAGTGTCTTCATCGACATTTTCAACATGTCCATGACTGAGTCTGTAATACCAACATGTTTCAAGCAGACCACCATAGTCCCCGTGCCCAAGGACACTAAGATAACCTGTCTAAATGACTACCGACCCGTAGCACTGACGTCTGTAGCCATGAAGTGCTTTGAAAGGCTGGTCATGGCTCACATCAACACCATTATCCCGGAAACCCTAGACCCACTCCAATTTGCATACCGCCCCAACAGATCCACAGATTATGCAATCTCTATTGCACTCCACACTGCCCTTTCCCACCTGGACAAGAGGAACACCTACGTGAGAATGCTATCCATTGACTACAGCTCAGCGTTCAACACCATAGTGCCCTCAAAGCTCATCACTAAGCTAAGGATCCTGGGACTAAACACCTCCCTCTGCAACTGGATCCTGGACTTCCTGATGGGCCGCCCCCAGGTGGTAAGAGTCGGTAACAACACATCTGCCACGCTGATCGTCAACACGGGGGCCCCACAGGGGTGCGTGCTCAGTCCCCTCCTGTACTCCCTGTTCACCCATGACTGCATGGCCAGGCACGACTCCAACACCATCATTAAGTTTTCCGACGACACAACAGTGGTAGGCCTGATCACCGACAACGATGAGACAACCTATAGGGAGGAGGTCAGAGACCTGGCCGTGTGGTGCCAGGATAACAACCTCTCCCTCAACGTGACCAAGACAAAGAAGATGATTGTGGACTACAGGAAAAAAAAGAGGACTGAGCACGCCCCCATTCTCATCGACAGGGCTGTAGTGGAACAGGTTGAGAGCTTCAAGTTCCTTGGTGTCCACATCACCAACAAACTATCATGGTCCAAACACACCAAGACAGTCGTGAAGAGGGCACGATAAAGCCTATTTCCCCCTCAGGAGACTGAAAAGATTTGGCATGGGTCCTCAGATCCTCAAATAGTTCTACAGCTGCACCATCGAGAGCATCCTGACTGGTTGCATCACCCCCTGGTATGGCAACTGCTCGGCCTCCGACCGCAAGGCACTACAGAGGGTAGTGCGTACGGCCCAGTACATCACTGGGGCCAAGCTTCCTGCCATCCAGGACCTCTATACCAGGCGGTGTCAGAGGAAGGCCCTCAAAATGGTCAAAGACTCCAGCCACCCTAGTCATAGACTGTTCTCTCTGCTACCGCACGGCAAATGGTACCGGAGCGCCAAGTCCAAAAGGCTTCTCAACAGCTTCTACCCCCAAGCCATAAGACTCCTGAACAGCTAATCATGGCTAACCGGACTATTTGCACCCCCACCCCATCTTTTTACGCTGCTGCTACTCTGTTAATTATTCATGCATAGTCACTTTAACTCTACCCACATGTACATATTACCTCAACTACCTCAACTAGCCGGTGCCCCCGCACATTGACTCTGCACCGGTACCCCCCTGTATATGGCCTCCCTACTGTTATTTTATTTCACTTCTGCTCTTTTTTTCTCAACACTTTTTTGTTGTTGTTGTTTTATTTACTTTTTTATTAAGAAATAAATGCATTGTTGGTTAAGGGCTGTAAGTAAGCATTTCACGGTAATGTCTACACCTGTTGTATTCGGCACATGTGGCAAATACAATTTGATTTGATTTGATTTGAATTGAGCTGACTTGGAAATATAGCTTCCTCAAAGCATACAGATAGACAGACAGTCCACTTTTCCACAGAGAGAGTAAGTAATGTATGTCTATCTATCCTCAGGCTTTGAGAGTGACATAGTCACCTTGGTGCTGTCCATTGGATGCAGGCACTCTATCCGCGATCTGGCTTTGGGATGCAACTTTGCCATGAAGTCCAGGTGAATAGATTACTCTGTCACGCCCACTGTGTTTTCTATCCATCTATCTACTGTATATCCATCAACTGTCCCCTTCTCTCTGCCCGCTCTCTCTCCACAGAGCTCTAACAGACGTCCTACAGCGTATCGTCCAGCTCATGCAGGAGGAGGAATGTGTGAGTGTTCGATCTTGTCCTTTGACTGACAAACACATTTATTTACGTTCTTTCATATATCATATCTCAAACACTTAACTTTCCTGTGTACTATGTATAATTATAATAATTTGGGGGGTGCTTATGTTTGTCCTGTTCCACACGTGTACTGGAAATGTTTTTTTTTGTCGCATATCCCAACTCCTCCTGAGACACCCTCAGGGAGTGGGGTCACGGCCAGGGTCGCCATTGTACAGCGCCCCTGGAGCAATTAGGGTTAAGTGCTTTGCTCAAGGGCACAGCGACAGATAATTTTTTTTAAACCTTGTCGGCTCCGGTATTTGAACCAGCAACCTTTCGGTTTCTGACCCAACGCACTGACATCGAGAGTACCTGCCGCCCCATCTACGTGATCTAAACCTGTTCTAATAAGCTGTCGTAAACAACCATTGACTTAAACATCAGCTTAGCTTTGAAAAGGCCTCATTTACATTACATGAATCTCCTAGCCTCTGACAACAACAGTAAATCTCAGTCTCCTTTACCCTCTCCTCAGTAGATATCCCTGCTCCTCTTATGTTTTGACCCTGGCTCTACCACTGCCCAGGCCTCTTCTCCAGTAGTGTCCCGTTCCCTGTAATAGTTGGAGGCTCTGTGGAGGCACAGTCCTCTGGGACGTCCCCCTGAGTGAAAGCAAGCCTTTTAATTACCCAGAATCTTTCTCCAGCGAGACGCGGCCTGCCTCAGTAATTACACACTGAGCAGCTTAAACTACTACAGTATACTAGGCTCATTAAAACAGGCAGCCATTTTCTCTCAGAGGATCAAAGAGCCCTCTCATATCTGAGATGGAGATGTCAGGGTGAAGTTCATGTAAACCAACTGAAGTTCTTTCAGGCCCAGGCTCTGGGCTCTGGCTCAGATCAGTGGTGTGCGTCTGCATGCATGCGTGCCCACAGCCCCTGGAGTCTCTGTCAGTGTGTGATTCCGAGCTGAAGACAGGCACCACCATCCTTATCAACAGCCTGGGCCGCAATGCCAGCCTCACTAATATTGACACCAATGGCAACTGTATCAAAGACACTGGAGCCAATTTGCTGGCCAAGGCCTTACTCATCAACACTAAGCTTAGGTAACCGAGCCATAACCCAACCTAACCTATCACCTAACAAACCTATCCCATCATAGCCATAACCCTACGCAACTCCCAAACTAACCAACAATAACCTGACCTGCCATGTATAACCCCATCCATGTCTCTACAGGACCCTGGTCTGGGACAGAAACAATGTGACAGTCAAGGGGTTTCTGGATGTGGCAAATGTTCCAGAGAGGTGAATCGTGGACAGGGAGGGTCTCAGTCCATCAAACAGAGCAATATCCCCTAAAACATTATATTACCCTTCCTTTCCTGGCTTTCATGTTTGTTAAGTCATGAACACAGGAACTTCACACTGCAGCACATGTCCATCCCCATGAGTGATGTCACACATGGGTATTGTAGCAGTCCTGAGAAGACAGAGGAGGCTCTTCAGAAGGTGAGATTGGGCTGACAAAAAACTAACATTCTAAACTCCAACTTTCACCATGGTATTAAACATCTGTGGCTGTTGTGTGTCCAGATCCAGGCCTGTCTGCTCAGGAACAACCAGAGACAGTCAGGAGTCCCAGACCAGATACTAAACCTGCAACAGGGTCTGAAGACTGTACGCTCTCTGAACAGGTGGGTCAGGCTCGGTCATAGGAGGAAGCAACAGAAATATGTGTATAATCTGTATGTATGCGAGTCTGTTCCTTTCCCGTAGTCCTTACTTTCTGGTACATTTGCCTCTGACAGGTGATATATTGTAAATTACTGTTTTATATCTTTATTGTTTTATAGCATCATATCCTCTAAGTATGAATAAATTGTTTTTATATATCCTTAGAGATTGAAAGTAGTGTTAGGTTCAAGCTCTTTGTGTATCCGAAGTGTAATTATTTAGTGGACTGTAGGAATGTGTACTCCCAATAACTCAAGGCCTCTCCTGACTGATATGAAGTCTTGTGATATGCACGGAGGAGCACGGAGAAATCCTGGGTGATGGAAAAGTACTGAAGTACATATTTGTGGAAGGGAGGGGGTGAGAGCTAAGGGTGTAAGTGGACACTGCACTGTATTGAATGTATGTATTCAGCTGTTACTTCTTCTCTGAGTAAACATTTGAAACATCACTCTTAGTTTGGGCTCTTGTATGATAAATATGTTTATGGTATATTGAGATATGGGTCTTCTTATGACAGGGACAGTAAAAGTCACCCTGCGTCTCTGTCTGACTCATCCCATCCCAACTGGTTCAGGGTCTCTGTCAGAGGTTACAGGAGAGTGTCCTACCTTTAACCCCCTGCAATGTACAGGAAGTGCAGTCAGACATATTGACTGCAGAGGAAGTGCTTTGTAATGCTAAGACCTCCATCACCTCCATGAGTCTCACACAACAGATTGGTGATTGTTGGCTAGATTGACAATGTGTATCTGTGTAACATAGGCCTAATGATGAACTCATTTGAGGATGGTGAAATATAATACAAATCGCTATCGCCTTCACTTTATGAGCTGGGGAGGACACCCTCTAGTGGTGTAATGCTGCAACATATACTGAATGACACGACCAAAACAATTACTGCTATTTCTAAGTCTGTTTTATTGTTTGTGTACAGTATTTATGAGGAGCATCAATATGCATCAGTCACCAACCACACAGATGACTATCACCATTCAGCCAATTAGAAGAGACATGTCTAAAATAATTGCTGCAACACATGATAGGGAAAGACTCATGAGAGGTCATCCAGGTGAGTCTCCCAGGTGACTGGTATGCCCTGTGTGTTCCAGGAGCTGGCCCAGGCCTTTCTATAGGCAGCCCAGACTCTCTATCCCAGGGTCACACAGAGGTCAAGTGTCTGTGAGCAGCTGGCTGACTGTGTGGCTAAGATGTCCAGACAGACAGCCCTCTTCATCCAGGACACCCTCATACAGCACACAGGAGAGCTCAGGTAAACAGCTGAATACACACACATCCACCCTGACACAAAAACACAGCTTATGTAGAACACAAACAGTTACATCATACATAATCTTTGTTGTTTTGTGTCATAATCATGTCATACTCAATACTATTAATTTTCACACCCAGGGCCTCCCACATCTCCCATAAAGCTTACTGTAGTTGCTAATGGTTTACTTCTCCCCCTCCCTTATTTTTTCTGCTTTTCATTCCTCTTTTAGTGAACTAAAACTGTCAGTTAGTGTCTCCTTGGTGGAAAGTATAATTGACGAGGTTCTGCAGGACTTGTCTGTGGCTCAGCAGAAATTGGTGAGAGTTTGTTTTGTGTGTGAGTTGTGTGTGTTGTGTGTGTTTAATTAGTATGACTGATCACCACCCTCCCTCACCTCAGGACCGTAATTTGAGGGAGCAGACCAGCTCCCTCAGCTACGAGTTGTAGACCATAACTGCCCCACTGGATGATGTAAGAGTTCTGACTAACATAAAACACACATATCCCACCATGCTATACTGTATATGCCGAACCATTCTACCAGTCTACACAAGTACCTACATTACCTGCATTAGTTCTTGTTTAATACAACTAACTGAATATCCTTCTCCTTCTCGATATGTTCATGTCATTTGGAGGAGCAGCTTCCACTCCAAGAGTATCCGTCCAGCACCCTCAGTGAAAAGTAAGAACCAGGCGTGTCATAAGTATAATTAAGATTTATTGTAACAGACTATTTAGTAGGAAAGCTGGGAGTCTGGGATGAAACTAGGAAAATTTACATTGTAAACAATCAGGTTTGGGGATTGGCAGCAGACTGCCACATCAAAACTGCCTTGACCTGTGATGTCAGTAGCTACAATCTTAGAAAAAGGTTTCACCCAGAATTCACATTTGAAAGGTCAGGAGTCAAGTCTGAACCATTTCATTATCCAGTTAGGAGTGAGCTCTAACAAAAGAGGGTCAAAAGGGCAGTAATATGAAAATAGTGGAGCAGTCACAACAAAGAGGGAGATATCCTCTAGAGCAGCGTTTCCCAAACTCGGTCCTGGGGACCCCAAGGGGTGCACGTTTTGTTTTTTGCCCTAGCACTACACAGCTGATTCAAATAATCAACTAATCATCAGGCTTTGGTTATTTAAATCAGATGTGTAGTTCTAGGGCAAAAACCAAAACGTGCACCCTTTGGGTTCCCCAAGACCGAGTTTGGGAAACGCTGCTCTAGAGCCATATGGTTATGGATTGTTCTGCTCAAATCCCCCTAGTGCAATGTACTCTTAAATACATTTGAAATCCGATTTAGAACCAGTCAAACATTTTGTCAGTGTGTCACATGAAAAAAATTACGCAAAACGTTTTAACCCCTTGTCCTCTGAAAAACAAGTCCAAAAAGAGGCACTTATGTCTATGTGTTTTACTGTGCATATGTTTTTGTGTTTGTGTGTCATTGATGCAGTCTGGGACCCTAGAGGGGCTGTCCCTCAATGTGTCTTGGGAGTTCCCCCTCCTTGTGACAGTGCTGTGTCATGGTGCTGAAGGTTAAAGGTCCCCCATTGAAGGGGAGGGGTGTGGGGGTCGGTGGTGGTGGGGGGTTACTACTCTACCCTCAACAAAAGATAATCAGCTGTGCGGTGATCTGCCTGCCCAATGAAAAGGGCTGTGGCTAACTGGAGCATGGCCAGGTTACTTTCAGACCACTGAGTCTCACTGGGGGGACGGGGATGGGGAGGGAGGGGAGGGATAGGGGTCACCGGCTTACAATCATTACACAACCCCTCCCCTCCTTTACCTCTCTCTCCCTGTTCTGGCGCTATCTGCGCTCTCTTTCTCTCCCATCTCTCTCGTTGTATTTTTATTTTGCTCTCTCTTGCTCCCTCTCTGTCTCTCCCTCTCTTTCTTGCTCCCTCCCTCTCTCTTCCATTGTTTAGATTCAGTGTTGCAAATCTATGTCTGATTAGTCTCCTCTGTTCTCTGTGCCGTGAAGTCTACAGTTAAAGGCACCCATCTGATTCCTCTTTCATCCATATTTTCTGTCGCTTTGCTCTCTGCTTTTTTTCTTTGTCGTCTTCTCCTCTCCCTTTCTTCATCAACACTCTCTCTACCACCATCCTTCTCTCTCTCTCCCATTCTATCTCACATCCCCTCTCAGTGTGTTAACGCCACATTATAGCTAGTTGTCCTATTTTTACATGCATTCTATCACACATCCTGTGCCTGTGTAGGTTGGTATCATTCCCTCTCTCTCTCGTCTTTCTCCCACTCTCTCTGTCCCCCTCTCTGTCCCCCTCTCTCTGTCCCCCTCTCTCTGTCCACCTCTCTCTGCCCCCCTCTATCTGTCCCCCTCTCTCTGTCTCTCTCTGCAGGTCTCCTGGATGTGAACACGGAGCAGCAGGCGAGAGAGCATTTATTATCAGCAGGAAAGAGGAGGGGAGGTCTCAGGGGTAGGAGGGAGGGGGCGGGCGCTGTCGTCAACGACGATATTGTCAGTCACAGTGGCAGGCCAGCTGAAACCTGAAGGCCCCTCCCACATAAGGAGGGAGGCGGATGCTGCCGCTGCTCCTACTGCTGCTGCGGCTCTTAGCAACAGTGATCCCCGGCGCCCTGAGCCCGCACCTCCTCAGCCCCCTATGGACCTGCCCATCGAAGGCCACACACTGAGGCACTACACCCGCTCCAGGCCCAGACCCAACCGCCGGAACAGCAAGCCGCCCAGCAAGCCCCAGGTAAGAGGCAACACGACGAGCACAGACCATGGAGGATGGGGATGGAGGGATGAAAGGGAGGCACAGAGAGAGGAAGACAGAGAGGGGGGTGCAGGGAGAGGCTAATTGTCGCGACAGAGATGCTTTCTGAGAGAGGAATAGAAGAGAAGGGATGGAGAAAAATAGAGATAGATGAGGGGAGAAAAAATCAGGGCAGAGCAGAGAGAATGTTGATGGAGGTAGAGTGAGAAAGAGAGGGAGAGGGGGAGGGAAGCAGTGTTCTGATGGTGGTACTCAGGTTATTGCAGCCACAGCAGCAGAGGCAGTGTCATTGGCTTGCAGCGCTAGGCATTCTCTCTCATCTCCATCTCTCTCTGTCGATCTGATTCTATTTCACTGTCTTGTCAGTGCTGCTGCTGTAGCTGTTGATGTGTCGAGGAGCCATTTCTGTGTGTTTTCTCCATATTTTCCCCAGCATTAACGATGGTCCCTGTGGTTCTCAGTAGTTGGGGTGGGAGCTGTCAGAACGGGGCACTGTCTTTCCATACTGATTCTGGATGGCTCTGCTCTGTGTGACTGCTGTAGCATTTTAATTATTCATGTTTTTACATCAAGGTGGGCTCACCGGCTCTCTGCCCCTCCCCCTCTTCACTATCACTCTCCTGTCAATGGCTTTAGGACAATCCCTCTTTTACGGTGGAATATTGTTAAGGACTGTCAATGGGAACTGGTCATGTGTCTGTGTCTGTGTTTGCATGTATGTATTCATTGTCATGTTTGATAAAAATGTCGCACAAGGAGTAGCGGGTGCTCCATGCTGATTGGTGGCAGTCTAGTGGTCTGTCTGTGTGTGTGGGGGTGTGTATGTGTTTTCCCTTGACACTGTTTGTTCTGCCAACTGATCAAAAACAGCTATCTCTCTGTTATGTGTGAAAACAATGCTGCAGCCATCTTATAAGCAGAACTAGTTCAATATAAATGGCTGATATAAGGTGTTTTTTGTAACATTATGTGTGTGTGTGTCTGTCTGTTTGCTTCCTGCCATTGTCGTTGTTGTAGCGTGATTCATTGTTGGTGTAGTAACAGTGTGATTGGTGTTGTTATTGCAGGTAACACTGTGCAATGGGGTTAATACCACATTAACCGGGTGTCTGTATCCACTGTGTTGTTATTACTGGCACACAGTGTCACCACATTGTTATTTAGACTGTATTCAAGGTGCCCCCAATTGTGTATTTCTATATTTCATGTGCTCTTGTCCCTGGTTACCTGTGTGTCTGTAACGCAATTGAAACAGCATATCCATTGCTGTTGTCCATGGTTACCTGTGCTCCTGTATAGTAATTGTTAGTGCGTTAATCCCTGTGTTGTTATCTGGGTCTCTGGGGTCATTGTACAGTCAGGCAGGACAGGCGGCCAGCTCCGATCAGAGATTTTCTGGAGAGGACAGCTCGACAGAGATGGGTTGGGCAGGATGAGAGGCAGAAAGATCCGCTTTACCCATCTATGGAATGGAAGAAGTTCACATATGTGTTATGAGGCAGAATTGTGTGTTTTTTTGTGTCTGCATGTATTTGTTTTTATGAACATAAAACATGCATGTGTATCGCAAGCAGGTTTATGTTATGTGAATGTTTATAATGTGTGATAATGTAGCTAGTTGGCCTGGTGAAATATGGGGCCAGGTGGTGGTTGTTGGAGGGCTGCTGGCTGAGTTGACTGTGGAGAAGGAAGGGGCAGGGTCTGCAGGGTCTACTGTCACACTACTGTAACACTCCCTGTGGTTGGTGGTGGTGGTGGCACTGCACATTCTGCAGGGTGTGCCTGCTGCCTGGCCCACTTAGAACATGCTCACACATGACTAGCGACTGTATAGTTTCCCTGCAGTGGCATTTTATTACATGTGTAGAGAAATGTAAGGTAATCTACATTTGATTTTATATAACGGCATAGCTACCTCCCCCTAAAACATCTTGCCTCAATGTTACAGAGATAGAGAGCTTCTTACTGACTGACGTCGTCATCTGAGGTTTGTTCTTAAACCGTTCGCTTGCCATCACTCAGTGCTATGTTGAAGCCAAAACACAGCCAGTCTAGTGGTATATGAGGAATTGGACAGAGCCTAGCAGTTGAATTCTGCAAATGGTGGGAACTCCTACTCAACGATTCCCTGGGAATGTGTGGGAGATGATTCTTTGAAATCCAAGATCTCATATTATCAGACAGGATATGTCAGACCATATGTCAGAGATTTGTCTTCCATTTAATGCTCTTCTTTTTATACGGTTAATTTACTATTGTAAACTGGGTGTTTTGAGCCCTGAATGCTGATTGGCTGACAGCTGTCGTTTACCACAGGTATGACAAAACATTTATTTGTACTGCTCTAATTACGTTGGTAACCAGTTTATAATAGCAATAAGGCACCTCGGGGGTTTGTGATATATGGCTAATATACCACGGCTAAGGGCTGCGTCGTGCGTAAGAACAGCCCTTAGCCATGGTATATTGGCCATATACCACACCCTCGGGCATTATTGCTTAATTATAGAATTAGTGTGAAATATTATAGGATGACCAGAGCCCTCTACCTACATTGACATGAACTGTAGTTGTGAAAAGTCCACCTATTGATGTCCTATTTACCACAATAGACAATGCACTGCAAAGACAATAAAGTCCTGCCCCCTTCTTCATTAGGGAGAAACCAATAGACACCCCCCTTCTACCTACCAGTCTATCAGTAAGAGAGTGTTGCTGTGCTAGATGTATAGACAGGGTATATGTATGAAAGTGTTAGTGTGTGTTGTCAGTCATCAGTGGAAACACCATGTCTTTTTCTCTTCCTGAAGATGGAGTGGAGTGATGGGGATCAGTGCTCTCTGATTGGCTGAGAAGTGCACAATTATTTCTAATCCGTTTGTCATGCGGCGTGGAGCTCCATTTGTATACGTTGCTATATCTCTGTTCTGCAGGGGGTTGGTTCTCCTTCTTACTGTAACCACCGCGCCTTAGACTCCTCTCTCACAGTCTGTTCAGCAGCAGCTACACTCGCAGACTGGCTAAATACAGAACAACGTCTCAAACACTAGCCTACCCTCTGTGTGTGTGCATGTGTGTCCTTGTGTATGTGCATGCGTGCGCGCGCGCGAGAGACACTGAGAAAACAGTCCTTGCCTTCACTCTCAGTCTCTTCCCACTGCTGAAAATTGTCAGTCAATACTACCGGTCAAAATGTTGGGGACTGCCTGTTTGTATCTGAGTAAGTGACAGACAGCCAGGAAGAGAGTTAGTGTGAACTGCTCTTCCCACCAGCCTGTTAAATAACAATGAATAATTCATCTTTTAAGTGATCATAGTTTGATCCAAACAAAAGAGCTACTCTTCAGACTGGAACAGAGGGAGAGGAGAGAGTGGTGGTGGGGAAGTGTCACGATCGTCGGGAACAGAGGAGGACCAAGGCGCAGCGTGGAATGCGAACATATTTATTAATTGATGATCACACGAACAAAACGAAAACGTGACGTCCCTGGTTACATTCACAAACCAACACGGAACAAGAAACCACACCAAATGAATGCCTAACGGCTACCTAAGTATGACTCCCAATCAGAGACAACGAGCTACAGCCGTCTCTGATTGGGAGCCACCCTGGCCAACATAGATATACAAAACCAGAACAAACACAAATGAAAACTGGCTCAACATACTAGAGTCCCCAGAGCCAGGGCGTGACAGTACCCCCCCCCCCCCCCAAAGGCGCGGACTCCGACCGCGCCAACCAAACACCACAGGGGAGGGACCGGGTGGGCACTCCGCCTTGGAGGCGGATCCGGCTCCGGGCATGATCCCCACTCCCTCTCTAACCCCCCAAAGTACCCCTGGTCCGGTCTGACCCTGCTGACCGGAGCTGGACTGCACACTGGTGGAGCGGATTGCTCTAGCTCCGGCGTGACGCAGCTGACCCGTGCCGAACCAGGCACCGGTGGAACAGGCACGGGCTGTGCCGTACTGACGACGCACACTACTGGCTTGGTGTGGGGAGCAGGTACGGGCCGAGCCGGGCTGACGAAACGCACCACTGACTTGGTGCGGGGAGCAGGAGCGGGCCGGACCGGGCTGACGAAGCGCACCACTGACTTGGTGCGGGGAGCAGGAACGGGCCGAGCTGGGCTGACGAAACGCACCACTGACTTGGTGCGGGGAGCAGGAATGGGCCGGACCGGGCTGACGACGCGCACCACTGACTTGGTGCGGGGAGCAGGAACGGGCCGGACAGGGCTGACGAAACGCACCACTGACTTGGTGCGGGGAGCAGGAATGGGCCGGACTGGGCTGGCGACGCGCACCACAGGCTTGGTGCGGGGAGCAGGAACAGGCCGGGCCGAGCTGGCGACGCGCACCGTAGACTTGGTGCGAGTGGCAGGAACAGGCCGGACCGTACTGGGAACACACACCACTGGCCCTACGCGGGGATCAGGAACAGGCCGGACCGGACTGGCAACACACCCCAGTACCTCTCGCCGTGCCTCTACATCCTCCTTCCCCCTGGTGACCAGTGACTCCCGTAACCTGGCGGCCTCCTGCTGCCCCGTCGTCCACGGCGTGAGCCCCCCCCTAAAAAATTTCTGGGCGTCTCTCCTATCCGTGGACCAGGTCTCCATGTCCCTCGCCAGACTTTCGCCCTTCTGCTTCCAAGTCCAGCCCTTCTCTTCCTCACCCGGCTTGACCCAGTCGAGGAGGCGAAGGAGATCTGCTAGAGATCTCCCTGGCGATGGCTCCTGGACACGCTGCTTGGTCCAGTCTTGGTGGTTTCTTCTGTCACGATCGTCGGGAACAGAGGAGGACCAAGGCGCAGCGTGGAATGCGAACATATTTATTAATTGATGATCACACGAACAAAACGAAAACGTGACGTCCCTGGTTACATTCACAAACCAACACGGAACAAGAAACCACACCAAATGAATGCCTAACGGCTACCTAAGTATGACTCCCAATCAGAGACAACGAGCTACAGCCGTCTCTGATTGGGAGCCACCCTGGCCAACATAGATATACAAAACCAGAACAAACACAAATGAAAACTCACACCCTGGCTCAACATACTAGAGTCCCCAGAGCCAGGGCATGACAGGAAGGGTTTGTCTTAGAGATATAGTCACATGGTGGGGGATCAGGGCCGGGGAGGAAGGGGCTGAGGGGTTGTGTTCTCTCCAGGTACCTGACGCGCAGATGTGCCTGCACACACTGCTTCTGCCACAGCCACACAATGTTCTATAGAATAGAGAGGATGATCTATTGTGTGCGTGTGTGTATGTGTGCGTGTTTGTTCATAAACATATATTTTTCTCTATTGCATATCTGTTGTCAAACATAATAATCAGTATGTGTACGATGAGAGTGTACTCAGCCTACACTGATCAGTCACACAATGGTATTACCATAAGCATCCTCCAAGCTACTTATTTAATTGGTTATGCTATGCTGGCTTGGCCAATAAGCAAAAGTTGATTTTTTGGCAACGCTACAGGGGGATTTGACAATGGCAGATGAACCACAGTGCCTTCTCTTTCGCAATGATCTTCTGTTTGTGTTTTCATACATGTGTGTTTGTGTGTGTGCAGGAGCAGGCAGCTGAGAGTGAAGAGAATGAAGCCAATGAGACCATGGGTAGGGTGGATGAGGGAGTAGAGGAGTTCTTCACTAAGAAGATCATCCCTGATGACCCGCTGTAAGTATCCATATACCTCCAACAGCATACACCTTTGCATACTGACGCGTACAGAATAGATGTACTGCATGCACCCACACTAAACAAACCCACTCATACTAGCTCTCTACACCTACACCCTCTGCACATGCATGTTCACACACTCCCATGTAGACAAACATCGCTACACACACAGCATGCATACATACTGTAGCAACAGAAAGATAACAGAATGTATTAGACTAATGTTTGTCTACTTTGGTTAAAAACACTGTATCCCAAATACACAGCATCCCACTGATCCCAGCACTAGATAGAGTATGAACACTGAACAAGCACCACCACTGAATGGAGACTCAGTAGTGTTGTTGCTGTTTTGTGCTTCACCTCACTTGCAGAAAAGCGCAGAGGGAGGAGGTCCCTTACAAAGCACAACCCACAGAGTCGACCTCCACCACCCCTGCCCCTCCCAGCACGTCTGCCCCGGCCCCGCCCTCCTCTACCACCACCACCTCTATCACCTCCTCCTCCTCTTCCTCCTCCTCCATGACCGTAACAACCACCACCCCTTCCAACGCCCCCTCCAAAAACATCAAGAAGAAGTTTGGGGACTTCTTCGCCTTCAAGAAAGTCCGTGCTGGCCGGGGGGCGAAGGGCGAGGGTGGGCCGGAGGGCAAGGTCAAAAAGACCTCCATCGCAGATCTAATCAGACCACTCAGGGAGGCAAAAGAGAGGGAGAGAGAGAAAGAGCGGGAGAAGGAGAAGGGGAAGTTAGAAGAAGAGAGTGGTGCTAAGGCCACCAGTGTTAATGATTCTGATGCCACCACAACAGTAAGAGCAGCAGAGGACAACACCATGGCTCCCGCCCCACCCTCTGATGTCCCCAGCGTCCCCACATCCCTGCCCACCAGCACCCCCGCCCAGGAGGAGGTGACATCTGTGTCCCCCAGCGCTCTGACCCCCAGCCCCATCATCAGCCCTGTCGGTGGGTTCCTGGCGGAGAGGGAGAAGAGCCGGACCCTGGAAAAGAGCAAGACCCCAGACGGGGAGAGGAGACTGAAGGCCACACGGCGCTCCCTCAGGGAGGGCAAGTCCCAGTCCCTCATCCTGCTGACAGGCCTGGAGGATGGTGCTGCCGCACACGGAAGGGTAGGTACCGCTCTGCACTAGTGATCAGAAAACACATGGAGTGAGTTCAAAAGAAAATGCACATCATTTAGATATGCTTTTGGTCATTGTCTTTCAGAAACACGCATCTGAATGCACATCCAGCTTTGAACAGCGCCTCCACGTCATGCTCCACCGTATGGGGGTGGCCAAGACACCACCCGCAGACACAAAGACCAGCCAGGTGTGTGTGATATTGATGGTTGTGGACCACCCTTTCTCTTCTCTTCCTCCCTATTTCCTCTATTTATGTTCTGAGCCCCCAGCTGTAGTGGGATTCATTTAGGATTACATCACCTTTGTGACATTCATGTAATGTGCCATGGCAGTGAATATCTCAGTATAGTACCTAATAGTGAGACTGTGACATAGCTTGATATGGTAAAGGATTTATTGCAGCTTATCCACTGCAGCGTGCCTTATCAGTCCAGGTAGGAGCACATAGGAGGATAACTCATGAATAACATTATCATATCTTCCTTTAGAACAAAGAAGAGGAGCTGAGGAAAACCAACTCCGAAGGTAAGACACTCCACACACCTCCTCAGCTATGTGTCTGGGACTGCCTATGTGACTCAGTGTGACTCATCACACTGTATGTACAAATCCCCTGTTGCTGACGGGAGCTTGACAGCATCTCAGGTTTGCTGTAGATGTGTAGTCTTAGTCAACTTAGAGTTGGGGGGTTGTGCTAGATGTAGATGTCTCCTCTTAGAACTGTTGAATTGTAGACTGTCAAGTAAAAGTGTTGCTGTAACACTAGGGATGCGATTTGACAGTAAATGCTAGTAAAATGTAAACTGCAGTTGTTGGCCTCTTGAGTACCCCTTGAAAAGAAGAAGGAATCTAGATCATTTTCTTCCTAATTTTGATTTGTAAGAAATTGAAAAACTGTGCTTATTTCTGGTAAAGGCCAGTGAGGTAAAGGCCATCAGTGAAATCAATCCTGCATGTATAAATAAAGTGTCCAGCTAGCACATTTGTTTCAATTCAATGTCTATTCCACATTGGTTCAACATCATTTAATTGAAATGACATGGAAACAACGTTGATTCAACCAGTTTGTGCCAAGTGAGTTGTTTAACGTTCTCTGAACTATTTGAGAACATTCCCAATGTCAAACCAGTTGGAGAATGTTCCTAGAACATTACCAAAAATGTCATTAAATGCAACCATGTTTGAACTTTTAGGAAACGTTCTGTTAAACCAATGAAATACCAAGAAAATAACGTTATTTTGTCAAGCTCCTTTAATGTGCTGAGAATGTTTCAAAGCCAAGCAACTATCATGCACCATTCCCAGAACATTGTGGGAAGGTTGTGTGCTAAATAACCATAGGACTGTCACGATCGTTGAGAGACGGGTCAGACCAAGGTGCAGCGTGGTATGCATACATATTTATTCATGAAGATAAACACTTGACAATACAACAAAAGCACTGTAACGTGAAGTCCTATGGGCTATACTCACAACAAGCCAAACCAGAACACAAACAAGATCCCACAACTAAGGTAGGCAACCAGGCTACTTAAGTATGATCCCCAATCAGAGACAACGAGCGACAGCTGCCTCTGATTGGGAATCACACCCGGCCAAACATAGAAAGATCAACCCAGATCTACAACATAGAAATACACTAACATAGATCTCAACAGAAAACTCACACCCTGACCCAACCAACAAGAGTTCTCTCGATCAGGGCGTGACAAGGACAACCACGCTCTCACCAAGCTCTAAGAAACATATGGTTCTCAGAACGTTATGTGCTAGCTGAGTGGTGACTGGAGTTGACCCTGAGGTTAGAGCAGGCCAGAGAGGCTCATGGGAAGTCAGAGCAACACAGACCGGCCAGCCTGGGAGTCATTACTGCCCTCTGTCACTCAGTGCTGGAGGTTAGGGGTCAGTTCACACATCCACTCAGAGGGGAACTCAACACTATCAGCCAATGGCTTGTGCTCTAAAGATAACAGTGAAAGCTCCCTTAGCTGTCTTTTGTATGTATTTCTTGTGTCAGGCTGCTTCAAGTATGGAGGGGCTCATATTATGTGTAGGTGAACCTACCAGTTTGCAATAATGATCTCCTCTTTCTCAGGTGCAATTCTTGATAAAAAACCTGAACCCCCACCGACGTTCATGAAGCCTCGCACTATGTCCACATCAGCTTCAGGTAATTCTGACACTTAAAGCTGGTGAATGGATGTCCATGTAATATATCCATCTATACTCCAAGCCTTTATGTAAATATAATGTTGCAGTAATGACTTCAGTGCAACCTCCCTTCTTCCCTCAGACACCAGGCGGCCAATCAGAGCAGGCGTGACATCTCTGGAGGCTCTCAGAACAGACAAGCCCCTCCTCCCAGGACGTCCCATCGGACCCCTCCCTCCCAAGCCCACAGTGGCAGCCAAACCCCCTCTCCCAGCCCCCCAGCAGCACCCTGCTGCCGCTAGGACGTCCCCGGGGGTCCCCCGGCAGCCCAACACAGCCACAGCCCCGGAGACCCAGACCCAGCCAGCAGAGCCAGAGACCTCCCAGAGCCAGACCCAGCCCAAGCAGAGTGAGGTCACCAGCCCTTACTCCCGCAAGGAGACTCCCCCTGCCCCATCACCACACAGGGGCCCCAGCTCTCTGGAGAGCAAGGAGCGTGCTGTGAGAGCACAATCAGTCACTGAAGGTATACATACATACAGTATCATTCACCTCTCTTCTTTCCAGGACTGAACACACTTTTTCAGTTGTGACAAAATACATGACTAACTATAGTGTTTTTTCTGTCTGTGCAGAAAAATACCAAGCTAGTTTTATGTACTGTATCTGTTCCCTTTGTCTCTCCCACTCTCTCTGATTCTTTGTCTTCCATTATGAGCTTAATATGAAATAATGCAATAACAGTGAATGCTCAGAGCATAATAATTACTTTGGTATCTCTCTTTGTTTTCATATACTGTAACATAATTTGTGGATGGCAGCTCCTAATGCACTTGTCTGTATTGAACAGATTATTTTACATAATCAAACAGAGCTGATATCAATCCTGGGAGTCCATTTGCCAGAAGTCGGACTGTATTGGTTTTGACTCAACAATGCATCATCTGAATGACTGAATGACTTTAATGTATAGTGTATTGCACAGTGTATCTACCACCAATATGTAGCACCCACTCGTCTGATATTATTTGGGTCCAAATTATGGCAGAGGATGGCATCCCAAACATGTGAGCCAAACATGTGTTGGGTATTGCAATACCTGGTCTGATCTTTTTGGACATGAATGTCACTGTGACTCAAATGTCAAGCCTAAATCCACCGTGAGTTGTGTGTTTGTGTCACTGTGTGTGTAATTGTGTATCTAACTCCTGTGTGTCTTGGTCATCCCCTAGAGAGCCTTCCTAAACCCCAGTCCCGCATGAAGCCCTCTCCCCAGCGGAGAGCTGTGTCCGTCTACGAGGACTCCCTCCGTGAACATGCTGCTCTACTGGACCCCAAAGGTGAGCTCATCAGCAGAGAGAGAGCACCTCCAGCTGTATACCACTGGTTACTGCAGATGATCAAAGCCATACAGTGAGGGAAAAAAGTATTTGATCCCCTGCTGATTTTGTACGTTTGCCCACTGACAAAGAAATGATCAGTCTATAATTTTAATGGTAGGTTTATTTGAACAGTGAGAGACAGAATAACAACAAAAAAATCCAGAAAAACGCATGTCAAAAATTTTATAAATTGATTTGCATTTTTATGAGGGAAATAAGTATTTGACCCCTCTGCAAAACATGACTTAGTACTTGGTGGCAAAACCCTTGTAGGCAATCACAGAGGTCAGACGTTTCTTGTAGTTGGCCACCAGGTTTGCACACATCTCAGGAGGGATTTTGTCCCACTCCTCTTTGCAGATCTTCTCCAAGTCATTAAGGTTTCGAGGCTGACGTTTGGCAACTCAAATCTTTAGCTCCCTCCACAGATTTTCTATGGGATTAAGGTCTGGAGACTGGCTAGGCCACTCCAGGACCTTAATGTGCTTCTTCTTGAGCCACTCCTTTGTTGCCTTGGCCGTGTGTTTTGGGTCATTGTCATGCTGGAATACCCATCCACGACCCATTTTCAATGCCCTGGCTGAGGGAAGGAGGTTCTCAACCAAGATTTGACAGTACATGGCCCCGTCCATCGTCCCTTTGATGCGGTGAAGTTGTCCTGTCTCCTTAGCAGAAAAACACCCCCAAAGCATAATGTTTCCACCTCCATGTTTGACGGTGGGGATGGTGTTCTTGGGGTCTTAGGCAGCATTCCTCCTCCTCCAAACACAGCGAGTTGAGTTGATGCCAAAGAGCTCGATTTTGGTCTCATCTGACCACAACACTTTCACCCAGTTCTCCTCTGAATCATTCAAATGTTCATTGGCAAACTTCAGACGGGCCTGTATATGTGCTTTCTTGAGCAGGGGGACCTTGCGGGCGCTGCAGGATTTCAGTCCTTCACGGCGTAGTGTGTTACCAATTGTTTTCTTGGTGACTATGGTCCCAGCTGCCTTGAGATCATTGACAAGATCCTCCCGTGTAGTTCTGGGCTGATTACTAACCGTTCTCATGATCATTGCAACTCCACGAGGTGAGATCTTGCATGGAGCCCCAGGCAGAGGGAGATTGACCGTTATTTTGTGTTTCTTCCATTTGCGAATAATCGCACCAACTGTTGTCACCTTCTCACCAAGCTGCTTGGCGATGGTCTTGTAGCCCATTCCAGCCTTGTGTAGGTCTACAATCTTGTACCTGACATCCTTGGAGAGCTCTTTGGTTTTGGCCATAGTGGAGAGTTTGGAATCTGATTGATTGATTGCTTCTGTGGACGGGTGTCTTTTATACAGGTAACAAACTGAGATTAGGAGCACTCCCTTTAAGAGTGTGCTCCTAATCTCAGCTCTTTACCTGTATAAAAGACACCTGGGAGCCAGAAGTCTTTCTGATTGAGAGGGGGTCAATTGCTTATTTCCCTCATTAAAATGCAAATCAATTTATAAATTTTTTTACATGCTTTTTTCTGGATTTTTTTGTTGTTATTCTGTCTCTCACTGTTCAAATAAACCTACCATTAAAATTATAGACTGATCATTTCCTTGTCAGTGGGCAAACGTACAAAATCAGCAGGGGATCAAATACTTTTTTCCCTCACTGTATGTGTAACTGCGTGTGTGTCCACCTCACAGCCGCTCAGGTCTAGCTCCAGCCCACACAGATTAGTATTTGTGGCCAGACCCTGCAACAACAATCTGCATAAAATAAAATATGTGTATCAAACAGCAGTATACATGTGTAAATCAAAATACAAACACATACAGTATCATACAGTATCACCCAGTGCTATAAGTAAGCTTCACATTCTGTTTGACATGTATTACATTTACATTTTCTGGTATGGCATTCCATCAGTGCGCACCTGAGAGCCTCTGGGGGTAGTTTGGTTCCTGCCAGTCCCACATATTTTAGCTCAGAGCTCTTACTGAAGAAGTAAATTACAGTCCTTGTCACCTCCCGCACCTTCCTGGGGACAGAGAGAGGTCAGCAGGGGATCAAATACTTTTTTCCCTCACTGTATACAAAGACTATACTGTGTGTATATACTGTACTGTATATTTACATTTTAGTCATTTAGCAGACGCTCTTATCCAGAGCGACTTACAGTTAGTGAGTGCCTACATTTTTCATGGCTCTGGAAATGATGTTACCCAGTCATGTCAGTGTTATCTCTGTTTTGTAGTTTTTCAGAGAACAACTTAACTACTGACTTTCAGCATGCATATAGAGAAGGGCACTCAACGTGTACCTCACTGACTCAGATGACAGATGATTGGTAAAAATACAAAATAAAGGATAATAAGATGATAGTTGGAGCTCTATTGTTAGATTTCAGTGCAGCCTTTGATGTTATTGATCATACATTGTTATTGAAGAAACCCACTTGCTATGGCTTTACATTACATGCCATCACATGTTTGGAGAGTTATTTATCCAGTAGAACCAGAGAGTGTTCTTCAATGGAAGCTTCTCAAACATCAAATATGTACAGTGTGGTGTCCCGCTGGGCAGTTGCCTTTGGCCGTTACTCTTTTCTATTTATTTTTTTACAAATTATTTGCCACTGGTCTTACACAAAGCTAGAATGACTATGTATACGGATGATTCCACACTACATGTCAGCACCCAAAGTCAGTGAGCTCACTGAAATTATAAATAAGGAGTTACAGTCAGAATGGGTGATTAATAATAAACTGGTCTTAAATACAACTAAAACTAAAAGCATTGTATTTCATTCAAAGCAGTCTCTAAGACCTAAACCTCAACTGGAGTTGTGCATAAAGGGTGTCAACATTGAGCAAGTTCAGGAAGCTAAACTCCTGGGTATATCATTGGATGGTCAATTATCATGGTCAAGTCATGTTGACAAAGTTCTTGTGAAGATGGGAAGGGGTATGTCTGTTATAAAAATATGTTCTGCATTTCTTTTACACAAAAATCAACTGTACTAGTTGTTCAGGCTCTGGTCTTGTCCCATATTGATTACTGTCCGGTAATATGGTCAAGTGCAGCAAAGAAAGATCTAGCAAAGCTGCAGCTGGCTCAAAACAGAGCAGCATACCTTGCCCTTAACTGCACATACAGAACTAACATCAACAACATGCATGCCAGTCTTTTCTGGTTGAGGGTTGATGAGAGATTAACTGCTTCTCTTCTAGGTTTTTATGAGAAATATGAAAATTCCAGATTGTCTGCATAATCAAATAACATTCAGCTCAGATACCCATACATACCCCACAAGACATGCCACCAGGGGTCTCTTCACAGTCCCAAGTACAAAAATAATTCACAGCAACACACAGTATTATACAAACCCATGATGGCAAGGAACTCCCTTCCATTTCAATTTACTCAAGCAATCAGCAAAATTACCTTATAAAAATAGTTTAAACAACATCTCATGGAACAGCAGGGACCGTGAGGGGACACACATAAACACACACACACAAAGACACACTAACACACATTATTGTTTAGATATATTGTTTGTCTTATTTTTTTGTTATATTGTTTGTATGTCGTTGTATTTTAAATTCGTGTGACTGTCCTTGTCTATCAGTGTATCAGTGTTTTGTTAGTTGTCATGTTCTGTGTTTTTTGTGGAACACAGGAAGAGTAGCTGCTGCTTCAGCAAAAGCTAATGGGGATCCAAATAAACAAATAGAGTATATCATCCTTTCCTCCTTCTCCTATGGTAGCACTTCACTAAAAACATCTATGCGTCACTGTGTACAAATACATTGAAAAGCCCTAGATGTGTTAATTTATGCTCTGTTACATTATGTATTTGAGGCAGGTTGTTTATCTTTACTCTCCCTCCCTCCCATCAGAGCTGAAGGCAGCGTTGCCACGGTTGCAGAAGTCACCAGTCCAGAAACGTACCAACCTGGGGGAGCTCCCTACCTGTAGTGAGAACCAGCAAGAGGGAGAGGAGGGTGAGTAGGGGGCAGGGGTGCAGGGGTGCAGGGGTGCAGGGGGTAAGGTGCAGGCATCGGAGGGGGAAATAAGGCAAATAGGAACAGTTGCTGACTGAACCTATAGTTTGAAAGGAAGATTGAGTCAAGATATTTTGAAGATGAGTGTATGGTTGTAAAATGGATGCTCTTCTTGAGGCTCTGTGCCAAATGTACAAATGTTTGGTTTGGGGTCTATGAGCCTTGGCCTAATGGGTATATGCCCACTTGCTTCCCCTCTCTCTGCTTTGTCCACCTCTATTTGTCTGTAAACAGAATAGTAACTCACCCATCAGTCCTTCAGCACCACATGCACTTTAGAGCAATTACCATCCTATTACATCTCATATATTAATAACCTTAAATTACAGGGCTGGAGGAGGACTGGATATCAGGTCCTCTATGGTACAATTCATGTGAAAGATTTATTAAAGCCATGCTTCATCATTATGCCCACAACCCTCATGCATCCCTCACAGTCAATATCTACCTCACAGCATGCTATAAAGTGCCAGATATTAAAGTCTAGAATTACCTTGTTTTGGATTAAACAGAAATGATTGCTTGAATGATACTAATCTAATCAAGAAACAAGTGCTTTTCTTTCAAACTTTGTTAGGTTTATCTTTCTGCCTGTAAAAAGGCAGGTTCCATCTTGTTCTGTGTTATCTTTGAGATTAAAAATCTCATCTATGTTATGTCTTATTAATCATCCAAACAGCAGGTGAAGCGGGGGAGAAGAAGGAGAAGGAGAGGACTGGAGAGGGTGAGGGGACGGACAGCCGGCCGGTAACAGAGGACAAGCCAGGGCCAGGGCCAAGCCCAGTGGGGGCCGGTCAGGTAGAGGGAGAGAGCACAGCAGAGAAGAGAGGCGAGACGGTCTCACAGCAGCACAACAGCGCAGGCACAAACATCAGACCAAAGAACTGAACCCCCCCTAATGGAGAAACACATGGACTGACCTGCGCAGAGTCTATTTTCTATCATGTCTACCTTTGCCTTGCACGCCAGATTATGTAAAAAAAATTAAAAGAATTATGAACAAAATGTTTTAAAGAGTGTAAATCCATACCTATACTTGTTAATAATGATTAAAAAGTTGATTCTGAAGTGTCGTCAAGTGCACTGTCATCACTGCTGGTACGCATGGCTGTTGGTAGGAGGGAACTAGAGCAACATGGCTGTTTTTTATATTAACAACCCTCAATTGATGTACGAAGCTACAAAATACTATACAAAAATTATTGATTGACAAAATCTTGATTTAATCATTATTCAAATAAACAGCAGTGTTTTGCCTGTGAAGTGCATAGAAAACATGAAATAGCCAGGAAGACAGATATTAGCTCAGTTCTCAGTGATGTGGATGTTTCATGATGATCATATAAAGCGCCAGGCTGTCTCATGGTGCCTGCCAGGAATACATGGAGTACAGCCTGGACAGAGTGGCCCCCTCACGATGAGTCATCTGTGTGTAGTTTCTCCCTGGTAATGCCACCGAGCCGTGCTGCTACTGGGAGTTGGCTGGTGGAGGCAGTAAAAGCACAGGAGTGCCATCTGTGTGTGTGTATGGAGAGGCAGAGAGATGGAGCAGGAGATAAATAATCCATCTGTGAGGGACGTCTATACACACTACCAAGGTGTCATGCAGTATTGTCAAAATTAGTTGAAATTAATACAACACTCAAATAATTATAATGTAAAATGTTTTATTACATGAAAATATTAACAATTGGCACTTTAATTTACTGTAATAAAATCCACCTTATCTTGTAAAAACAAAATCAATCCATGGATTCAAATCACATGGGCAATAAAGAGCATTAATTTATTGAAAGCAAGACAAACCGACTAGCTATATACCAAACAGTAGTGTGCAGTCATGCTACAATGAGGAAAGTTAAAGTACTTTAGAAAAATAAACATTCTGTGGAATTGAGGTGTTCAAGGCCCAGATAAGCAGAGCATGGATTTCAACATGTCACCCCTCATGATATCACTTCCAGACAGAAGAACAGCTCGAGCCTGCTGCTAAGAAACTTTAATCACCACAAATCTGTCTACATTACAATAATGAACCATTACCAAGTAGTGTTATTGCCAACCCAACCTCAAAATATCCTCATATGTTCCTATAACCAGTCCATCACACTAGTGTTTTGAAAAGGATGTGGTTTTGTTACTGCAGTAATGACCACCACACTGAGGCCACTAATCTGCTGACAGTTTTGGACAATATGCATGTAGCCGTGCTGAATTACAAAACATAAAAACCTTTTTGTTGGATTGTAATGCTTGATTTTACTAGTCTGCTACTCTTGGCTTGGAATAGACATCTGCATCTTCTATGGTGGATTGGGACTTTTTTCTTGCTGAGTTGGACTTTTACCTTGTTCTTACACACGACTCATGATTTATAATGCTGGACACACTGACGAAACCTTTAGGGCTCTATTCAATCCGTGTCACAGAAGTTCAGCGTTACAGCGTGAATCAAATTTAAAGGCAATGTTTCAGCATTAGCGGAGACTGCATTCACGGTAAACGCTGCATATGTCAGCTCAATTAGAAATTACCTTTACATTTCTACAGCGCAATCTGTAATGCTTCAGCGATACAGATCGAATAGAGCCCTTAATTAAAGTCGGATTTTGGGACAAGGGGGCTATCAGTTAAAACTAAATCAGTTGTACATTTGTATTAGGTTCTCTTTGGTAAAGATTTAAGAAATTCCACAAGGAATTTTAAGGAAATCCGATTCACATTCATGGTTTAGAGTGAGGTTGCCTCTTATTCCTGGCAAAGTAACAATATATTACACTATTCCAACATACTGTACATCTTTAACATAATTAAGGCCAATAGAAAATGTACAACAACAAAAATGGAGCAATGCTGCGAAGGTTCTCGAAAGAGATTAAATTATATAAGCACACTGACGCACACCAGAAAACTTAGAGCAGTCTACAACCGCTTTGTGTTAAGGTTTCACTCAGAAATAAGTATTTTGCATACACACTGATCATCCATCTGAAAATACCCTAACAATATTGAAAAAATACTATTTAAGGAAAATAAAATAAATATTAGATTAATCAACACTATTCCCTATGGTCTGCTCAGCAATATACAGAGATTGAGAACCTACAACTTTCCTTCTCTTCATTGCCTCTATGCTTACAGAAGAAGCTGGAATGGACTTATATATTATGTATAAACTTTTTTTTTTTTTTTTTTTACACACGCCAAGTTGGAATATGGAGAGAAAGAGACACGTGGAAATAACACAAAGCTTAAAGTTGTAGCTATGTCTGACTTAGATATTTATATTTCAATAGCAATATCATCGAGCACTGTGCCTCATTGTGAATACATCACACCTCACAGTCAAGACATTGTATTTAAGCTGATTGATCTGTGGTGGAACAGAGCGGAGAATGCTCTCCTTTAGTGTTTGTCTGAAGGCATGCACATCAGACTTGTAGTCTTTACCAGGCTGTGGAACTATTGAGACAGTAAATGGAGTGTACTCGTCCAAATTGTAGAGCACAAATTTCCTGCATGCTGGAATGTTTCACTTTCAGCCATGTGTATGATACATCTAGAACACACAAAATGAGAAGGCCTGTTCCCGAGTATAGTGCAATAGCACCACACACACAACAATCTGAATGAAAACAAACACAGATAGAAAAACAGAGAGCCCCTGGCCAGCCCTGAAATATACCACTTTGGCAAATAAAGTAATCCGGTAACGGTTATAGAAAATAAGGCCTCTGAAGGAACAGCTGTGTCTTGCATATGCCGTCCTGCTGATTGCATGTTCTCTCCCCCCTCGAGTTCCTGTGTCCCAGTGCTAGAGTGTAGCTAGGACTCTGAGGAAGGAGATAATGAGGACACAGAAGGACTGGCCCACTCCAAACACCAAGGCTTCCAAGGAGATCATCCTCTTCCCTGCTGCTTTGTACACCCCAGCAATGGCGGCACCTACATGCACAAAGAACAAATAATTGTTTTGTTTTTCAAAGTATAAAATAATTTGAACACTGACTCAACGAGTGGTGATGATGGCTATATGTGTACAATAATGGATTATGTTGCTGGTTTATCAGAACATGAGGTGAGTAACTCACTGGTAAGGACACCGCCACACACAGGGCCCACAATACTCATCAGTATGATGGCGATGGGTATGAAGCGGGCTATCTTGTGTTGTCGCAAGGTGGCAATGGCCAGGAGAGCAGCAGGGAGGTGGAACACCAGTGAAGAGACGGCAGCCCACAAGAAGACTCCATACCACATCTCTGAGAACGGAAAGAGGGACAAAGGCACAAAGGAAGTAAGCAGTATCACATAGCCTAGCTATGTTTAGCAGAGTTTACAGACTTTACACATGCCTGTTGCCTGACACGTCTTCTGAATTCAGTACTACCCTACCCAGTACCCATAGTATTCATTATGTAAAACTGACCCCAAAATCACCCTGCAAAATAATCCAAGCTGCTAACGATTACACATTTATATAAATCTGTCTCACTCACTCACACTCTGGAGAATAACCTTTCCTTCACACAAAACACAACGTTTTCTCTAAAAAAAGACAACTGATGGCTACTCGGATTAGATAAAATTATGGGCAATTTAAAGCTGTCCGTTTTGTACAATAATATTGTTGTTATTGCCAGCTGGCTAGCTAGCACTTGATTAGCTAGCCATCTAACGTTAGCTAGGTAGCTACTTGTTTAGCATTCACAATAGCTAGCTACAGTAGCCATGTTAATTTATCTTGCTAGTAGCTATCTAGCTCGCTAAGTAGCCCAATAATAATGGACTACGGTAAGGATCCAAACGCTACTCCTTAGTTTAGGTTTAGAGTCTATATGAATGTGGTAGCTCACTAAGTAGTATTAGCTACGTTAAATCGGTTACCTGGATAATAGTTAACGAAAAATGTACGTTATAATGTTGTTCAACTGGCTAACGTACAACAGAGAGAGGCTATTGATTGAATCTCACCTGAGAAGTCGCTAAGCGATGTGTCGTTGCCTCGATTGGTGCCATTTTTCCTTGGGACCAAATTCAAGCTAAGAATTTGCTGCACAAACCCAATCTCGTTATATCCGTTCTGCATGTCTTATGCACAGAACACCACGAGCATGTGTGAGAGACCACGAATATCCGAATAACACCATCAGAACATTAATGTTGGATCTAGCTAGCAAGTCGACAGGAGGGGTTGGTTGATCTCCTGTATATAGCCGTTAGCTTGATGTCAACACAACTTGATTTGACGTCACGCCGTATCAGAGGCGGGGCCACGAAAAGGATTTCACCATTTAAATAAATTGTTCAACACAATTTCCAAACCGTATTAACATATAAAGATATAATAATGCAATCGATTATGAATACGGTATTCATTTCCCAACAATAAAGAAGCGATAACCCGTCTTTCCTAATGATTGATTGATCCTGTGGACTTGCCGTAGTAAATCAGGAAGTCAGATAAGCAGCTACCATAGAATTACACAATGATAAATATAGATCCGCGCTCCTTTTTGTAGCTAGTCAACAAAGCCACACGTTTTCATATTGTAGATACGTGTTGTGTATTTGTTTGTTATTGTAGTTGTAGCTATAATAAGCTATACAGCTATTTGATCGGTTATTTTGTAACCGCGTGATAGGTACAGACAGAGTTTGTCAGATATCCGGTGCTTTGTAATTTGCTAGCTAGCTAGCCAGCTATCCATACAGCAGCACTTTCTGGAGGGGAAATTATGAATTACTCAGATTATGATTCTGATGGCTATTCTTCAAATGAAGATCAAGACTATGTCCCATCTGGTAAGGTTACTTCCACAAGCAGATAGAAATGCAATGCTAGTTGAGCAGATATTTTATTAACGTTACACACATATGTTTTTATTTTTGTCATTTTAGCAGACGCTCTTATCCAGAGCGATTTACAGTTAGTGAGTGCATACATTTTTCATACTGGCACCCCGTGGGAAACGAACCCACAACCTTGGCGTTGCACGCGCCATGCTCTACTAACTGAGCTACACGGGGCCCAGAGAATAATAACCTTATACAGTAGCTATGCAATATTTCCACTGTAGGTGTCATATTCTTCATGTATGTTGCTTGATGATAACTAGCTACTGTATTTGTCATTCAATTCAAGTCTTACCATGATTGTTGTGTGGTTGACAGATGACAACCTCAGTGAAGATGACATGAATGAATGTGTGAAAGAGGATGGTCTGGAAGGGGTTGACCATAGTAGCCAACAGTCAGATAATGTCACCAAGAAGAAAAAGAAGAAAGGCCAAGACATTGGCATGAGGTGAGTGATTCAACACTTTTGTGTTTGGCTCAGTTTTTAGACCAATGTTGTGCATTGATTGCTTTGTTTTGCTCTGTTTTTATTGTAATTTCCATGTTAGTCTGCTGGAATCGGTTGATTACCATCTTTTTACATTATTTTCCTACCACTCTCTGTCGATCCTCATAGGAAAAGAAAGAAAGGAGGACTGAAGTTAGAGGAGACAGAGCAGGATGGCAGTGTGGAGGACCAGAAGGTAGAGCAGGAGGAGGAGGAGGAGGGGGAGGTGGGAGAGTTTTCTGCTCCCAGGCCCAAGAAGGAGGTGGATGAAGAGAAAAAGAAGAAGAAAGCAGATGATTTGTGGGCCAGTTTTCTGAGTGATGTTGGTCCCAAATCCAAGCCATCTATTCCATCAGCACAGTCTACTACTAAACAACAGGTATTGTACCAAATCTACAGACATCTGGCCCATAGAGACACACCAGGCATATGATAGTTGGAACCTGGGTTCCTGTTACAGCTTGCTGGTTGTGTACGTTTTTTGCATTGGAGTCAAGTTTGTAGTCTTTGGAACACTACTCTAACACCTGTTTTGTTTTACTGTCTCCACCAGGCTCCACCCACAGACAGTCCGAAGAAGGCCCCATCAGAACCTCATCATCTAGTACCTAAACCTAAAGAGCCCACTAAAGTCACCATCACTAAGGTGTTTGACTTTGCTGGGGAAGAGGTCCGGTAAGTTTAGACCACTGGTGCACTGTGCACATACCGGTAGCATTACATTCTTTGACCACCAGATGGCAGTGCAACCTTACATTTGAGCCCTTCACATAATGATCCTGAGAAAGTGTCTGCATTCCACAGCATACTGGAGCAACTACATTTCTGCGTTACAACACCACACGTCAGTTTACAGGCCAAATAATTGGCCTGGGAAAGTGGTTTTAGATTAGTCAGGGTCTCACCAGTAGTATTATCTATGTAATATGAAGCACATTAAAGGACAGCTTATTTTCTATGAAAGCCTTAATCATTGCAACAGATGATTATCATTATCACCCTAATGGATGCAATCTCCTTAAATAATGTATTCCCAGAGGATGTACTGGTTGACCTTAATGTTGGACTGGTCTCTTCCTATCCCTGTCATTATGTCCTATTTGAGAAGAAAGGACTATCTATTATATCTGATGGGGTGTGGTGTTTCTTTTGAGGAATTTAGAAGACTATCATCCAGTAGAGCCTGGTTGTGTAGAGGGAGAGCTATAAACGAGTGCAGGGTTTAAGGAGGAAAGGGAGAAGAAACAGAAGAGCGAGAGGCATAGCCTAGCATAAAAAATGTCCACTTGGCAGGAGATGGAGGGAAAGGATTGTCCTCTCATTATTACAAAGTGTTGATTCGTGTGTGTGGACGTGTAAGTGCACGTGTGTGGGAGGGGATTCTTGTACTACCAGGGAGGGACTCAACCAAAAGCAGAAAACATATATTTGTAGGTTTTATTGGCTTGTAAACAGTGACCAACCTAAGGGGTTTATGAAACATCAGCCATGTCGGTTTTTGGGTAAAAAAAGTATCTCTTTTTTTACTGGGGTTATGTTTTTATGTGTATGTGTGTGAGAGAGAGAATTAGAGAGAGGTTGGCAATTTGTTTAAATGCCAAAGCAACCCAAGGCTTCTTGTGTGTTTGTGTGTCCTTTTCTTGAAAAATTAACAGTGTTACGTAACTTGATATCTACTTATGCCCATTAGACTGAGGCAACTAATACAGTCCTGGTTTTAAGTGTCTGTCTGTTACTGTCTTCAGAGTAACCAAAGAGGTAGATGCTGACTCCAAGGAGGCCAAGTGCTTTCTGAAGTCCAAGGAGGAGACACCAGATGTGCAGACTATACCCAGCAGACCAGAGCCCTCCTCCCTCGCCCCTGGACCCAGGTACACCCCCCACCCCCCCTCAACAGTCACTACATTACATCACCCGCCTCTCTCTAAGTATTTGACTAGTATAGAGGTTCAATATCACTTAAATGTATAGGAACAGAAGTACTGCCACTGCTTAAGTTACAGTATAATGTGAATTTGTGAAATACCGCTTCATCTACTTTCACCATCATTCCTTTTTAAATAGGTAGTGAACCCAGGTCAGATTTCCATTTTTCCATCACTCAACTTCATATAACTAATTTGTATGTGAATGTGTGTGCGCGACTGGCAGTGGTGCCAATTGTGTTTTCACAGCCATGTTTGAATAGGCTGTAAAAGGTGTGTGCATGTGTGTAGGACATGAGGGTAATCATCACAGGTTTCTCTCTCCATTGATTTCTGACAGCTTTTACAGCAAGCCTTTGATCCTGTCATCCACTCTCTCTGCTACTGAGAAACCAGGGAATGGGATTACTGCTCGCCTTTCACACTGCTCTGATACTAGTGTGTGTTGTGTTGTGTTTGTGCAAATACACTGAGTGTACAAAACGCTCTTTCCATGACATAGACTGACCAAGTGAAAGCTATGATCCCTTATTGATGTCACTTGTTAAATCTACTTCAATCAGTGTAGATGAAGGGGAGGAGACAGCTTAATGAAGGAGTTTTAAGCCTTGAGACGATTGAGACATGGATTGTGTATTTGTGCCATTCAGAGGGTGAATGGGCAAGACAAAAGATTTGTGCCTTTGAACAGGGTATGGTAGTAGGTGCCAGGCGCACCGGTTTGAGTGTGTCAAGAATTGCAACACTGCTGGGTTTTTCACACTCAACAGTTTCCTGTGTGTATCAAGAATGGTCCACCACCCAAAGGACATCTAGCCAACTTGACACAACTGTGGGAAGCATTGGAGTCAACATGGGCCAGCATTCTTGTGGAACGCTTTCGAGTCTGTGACCCGACGAATGTAGGCCATTCTGAGGGCAAAAGAGGCGGGGTGAAACTCAATATTAGGAAGGTGTTCCTAATGTTTTGTACACTCAGTGTACTATGTGAGATGTTTGTGTGTGTGTACTGTAAGTGTGTGTATCATTGTCTTGCTATGACAGCTCCAGCTGCTCTCCTCTCCTCTATCCCACTCCCCTGCATGTCATTACGTCCCTCCGTTGCCATGGCGTTTAATTGCTGAGCCCGTCTTTCCTCTGAGGCGGTGGCTTGTGTCCAGACAGGTAGTGATCTTTCCCTTACAGAATGTGCAGTGTGTCCAGAGCCATTTCCTTTTGTAGAGGAGGGGAGAGGGAGGGCTTACCTACAGTACAACAACAGGAAAGAGCCATCAGTCAGTCAGAAGCCCTCCCTCATCATCCCTGTAGACCAGACCCATTAAGTGAATTACCTCGCCTTTGAACCACATCACATCACAGCCTGCTGCAGGGACAGGACCAACTTTGTTGTTGTTTTTTAATCAGCTCGTAACACTCTCAGGACGTTGCAACGTTTAAGTTACATAAGGGTGGCGGGTGCTGTGTTGTTACAGAGGTCCCATGGTGCTCTCTCTATCCCATGTTACAACCACTAGTTTCCAGCCTAAAACGAGAGGCAGAAAAGTGTTGACTGTACGGACTGTGTTGTTGCATTTTCCCGCCTTTTGTCCCTTCATTATTTACTCCATCTTCGGCTCTCCCACTACCTTCCTGTCTGCACCCCTCTCTCTCTCTCTCTCTCTCTCTCTCTCTCTCTCTCTCTCTCTCTCTCTCTCTCTCTCTCTCTCTCTCTCTCTCTCTCTCCCCCCCCCCCCCCCCCCCCCCCGTGTGATTTGAGGTTAGCAGTGTAGTGGAAGGCCTGAGTCAGCAGGACAGGCCCCAGACATGTGATCTCCATTGAGGAACATGTGCCTCCCTGCCATACTGTTCAGCACAGTGTGTCTGTTCAGCTCTGTCTATCTGTCTGTCTGAGCTCCTGCTGCACCTAGCCAGTAGCCACTGCACCCTAATTTGGCCCTGCTGACTGCCATTACAGCAAACAGAAAACCACTCGTCTGTTTTCACATTCACTCCCCGTCTCCCTCCGTCCTCCCCATCTCAGTCTTTCTCTCACTAACTCGCCCTCCCTCCCTCTCTGTCTTTCTCCCTCTCGATTTGCTATCATTCCTCCTTTTATAGATCTGTTCCAGGGAGCCACTATCTAGGTAACTGTATTGAGTCTTATAAAAGCCCTCCGTTGTTGCGTAAGGCGTCATAGTTGTGCACTCACACCTAAAAACACCAGCCAACTTTTCCATCTACGGTAATTGAGAGCAGTTGTGTTCATAGATTTGATTGACCTGCTGTCATGCTCTGTGGGTAGTCCTGTGTGTGTGTGTGGCAGGGCAATAATCTGCCAGAGCAGTGGACCACAGCAGCATAATACAGGGGGTGCAGGCTAAGTGCTATCGATTAGCATGCCACAGAGATTTAGAGCTGCTTGTTGGGAACTCTAATGATTGGTTGATTGATTGCTCTCTGTCTCCGTGGTGTTACCTCACCACTCTACGCCAGGTAACATTGAATCTGAACACATTAGGGCTCACAAACGGCACACACACACACATTTGTGCACGACTGCCCGCACATCATCATCGCTACTGTATCACAACAGTAAGACTATCTTCTACTGCACCTACTGTAGTCTTGTATACATACATACACACACACACACACACACACACACACACACACACACAGAGTCTGGTCTGTTTGTGTAGATAGGGCTTATCTTGGGATAGTTTAATGTTTCCTGCTGGCAGGGTCAGATAGAGGTCCTGTGATTGTCAGTCTGGAGGCTTGGAATAGACCAGTGAGCAGCACATCATCTGTCTCAACACAGCCCTCTCTTTCCCTACCATATGTCAGGTCATCTTGATTCATTCACCAGATGTATTATTGTTGTGTTCTCAATGAGTGAACGGGTGAGTATACCAGTTAGTTACCTCTAAGGGACCACTTCTGGGCTACTTTCTTTGACAATTTTGACTTGCTGTGGGAGCAGCCAGCACTCTTTAAAATATACGGGATTCACTCTAACTGCAGGAGTTCCAGGATTATTTCCGGCAACGTAGCGAGCTGTTTTTAGAGACTGACGGCCTGGGTCTGTTAGTTCTCCAGTCCTCCCTGTCATAATTAGCAACAGATGACATGGAAAGCATATTATGTCCCGTAGTGAGGTTAATGTAAGTAACCTAATTTATGTTCCTCTAACTCCCCTGAATACCTCTGGCAGCTATTCATGTCAATATTGAATGTAAGATCTCTAAATACGTTGTTTATATGCAATGATTTTATTATTTGTATTGACATTGATATTTTCATACTTACTGAAACCTGGTATAAACCAAGGATTTTAGTTCTCTAAATGAATCTACCCCTCCAGCCTCTTCTTATCTACAGAAATCCAGGCCGTCTGGCCGTGGTGGGGGAGTAGCCATCATTCATAGACAAGTATACAGTTGAAGTCGGAAGTTTACATACACTTAGGTTGGAGTCATTAAAACTTGTTTTTCAACCACTCCACAAATGTCTTGTTAACAAACTATAGTTTTGGCAAGTCGGTTAGGACATCTACTTTGTGAATGACACAAGTCATTTTTCCAACAATCTTTAACAGACAGATATTTTCATTTATAATTCACTGTATCACAATTCCAGTGGGTCAGAAGTTTACATACACTAAGTTGACTGTGCCTTTAAACAGCTTGGAAAATTCCAGAAAATGATGTCATGGCTTTAGAAACTTCTGATAGGCTAATTGACATCATTTGAGTCAATTGGAGGTGTACCTGTGGATGTATTTCAAGGCCTACCTTCAAACTCAGTGCCTCTTTGCTTGACATCATGGGAAAATCAAAAGAAATCAGCCAAGACCAAAGAGAAAAATTTGTAGACCTCCACAAGTCTGGTTCATCCTTGGGAGCAATTTCCAAACGCCTGAAGGTACCACGTTCATCTGTACAAACAATAGTACGCAAGTATAAACACCATGGGACCACGCAGCCGTCATACCGCTCAGGAAGGAGACGCGTTCTGTCTCCTAGAGATGAACGTACTTTGGTGCGAAAAGTGAAAATCAATCCCAGAACAACAGCAAAGGACCTTGTGAAGATGCTGGAGGAAACAGGTAGAAAAGTATCTATATCCACAGTAAAACGAGTCCTATATCGACATAAACTGAAAGGCCGCTCAGCAAGGAAGAAGCCACTGCTCCAAAACCGCCATAAAAAAGCCAGACTACAGTTTGCAACTGAACATGGGGACAAATATCGTACTTTTTGGAGAAATGTCCTCTGGTCTGATGGAACAGAAAAAGAACTGTTTGGCCATAATGACCATCGTTATGTTTGGAGGAAAAAGGGGGGACTTGCAAGCCGAAGAACACCATCCCAACCGTGAAGCACGGGAGTGGCAGCATCATGCTGTGGGGGTGCTTTGCTGCAGAAGGGACTGGTGCACTTCACAAAATAGATGGCATCATGAGGAAGGAATATTATGTGGATATATTGAAGCAACATCTCAAGACATCAGTCAGGAAGTTAAAGCTTGGTCGCAAATGGGTCTTCCAAATGGACAATGACCCAAGCATACTTCCAAAGTTGTGGCAAAATGGTATAAGGACAACAAAGTCAAGGTATTGGAGTGGCCATCACAAAGCCCTGACCTCAATCCAATAGAAAATGTGTGGGCAGAACTGAAAAAGCATGTGCGAGCAAGGAGGCCTACAAACCTGACTCAGTTACACCAGCTCTGTATGGAGGAATGGGCCAAAATTCACCCAACTTATTGTGGGAAGCTTCTGGAAGGCTACCCGCAACGTTTGACCCAAGTGAAACAATTTAAAGGCAATGCTACCAAATACTAATTGTGTGTATGTAAACTTCTGACCCACTGGGAATGTGATGAAAGAAATAAAAGCTGAAATAAATCATTCTCTCTACTATTATTATTATTATTTCACATTCTTAAAATAAAGTGGTGAGC